ACAGCTTGGAAATATTGCGTAAGACAGCTACAAGTACAATGGAGCCGCCCGATTTTAACACTGGTCAGGCGCGCCACGATGGTCCGACCATCCAGGGGTTTAGAGTAGCAATAGCTTCATCCACATCTTGAAGATTTTATATCGTGACTATAGCTGCATCGATCAAAAATAACACGTCTTCTTATGATATATAAAACAATTAATGAAAGAATCAATGGATCGAGATATGATCGATCAAAGTTAAGTTTCCGTACATTTTTGGTGAGAGTGTTACTCGGGTGTAAGAATTAAAACTATCTTGATCACACCTCGCAAAGAGTAAGTTCAACAATTATCACAATTCAACCGCTTATGTTACAAACCGTACGGTTTACTGCAATATACTAGTAACGTTTCCAACCAGCATTCAGGGCCAGATACTGTTGAAAATACCAGCCGCTATCTGCTTTTGTACGAGAGAGGAAGAAATTTGTCATAAACTCACGGGCTCAAAACAGTCGTGATAAAGGGCAGATTGGAGTAAAAAGATATTCATGCCTGAGTTGAAAAATAATCTTATCTTTGATTAAAAAATAGTTTGACCCTCTCTTTAAGAGCGTGCGTGTTTATTTGACCAGCGCCATCTGCACAAGTTCTCATAAAGGCAATACTATTCAATACATTCGTTCGCACCAAAGGGCGCTGTAGATACTCGTGCGTATTTGTATTTCATGTTTTTATTCAGTGGGTTGTCGGGTCCTGGAATAGACCCATTGAGATTTTGCAACCACCAAGAACTGAACTGTTTGAGCTGTTAACTCTCTGTACAGAAATGTAATCAGAGATAGCAAAGCTCACCCCTTAAGCTTATCCTTAGCGCTTTGAGATGCTTCCAGGCAGGCAATAATGTACATGCATGGCAACGGTGCATTGGGGTTATAGGTTTCAGAAACATTCCGTTGTAACAGAATGAAATTGTCTTCTTTTGTGATTATCATACACAGCACCTGAAACTATTTTTACCTTTCCTAACTAGCTCCCCCCAATAACAATGCCCTGAACGCTTTATTACATTTCCCATTTTTCACCTCTAGCTGCCAACTTTCCATTAAAACGCTTCCCTAAACCATCTTGGAAGCGGTTCAAGGCCGTTCGGAGTCCGGACTCATGTCCTCGTGATTCTGTAATTAGACTTCCGTAGTTCTACGTGCACCAAACAGTCGGCTGTTGGACATGGCGACTAACGGACTGATCTTCCTTCTCTGTCTGCTGTCCTACGGTAACGTCTTTCACTAAAGTAGTCTTTCACCAAATATATTCTCACGTGTTGCTTGTTAGAAATCTGTAACATACTGTAACTAGATTTGGACATTCTTATTGCTTACAGGTTTGCGAAGCGAAACCTGCTTTATTTAATGACCTTCAATGACATGCATTTTTTGTATGTCAAGGTACATCCTGTGTTAAGGTTTCTCAAAGTGTATTTCTTGTACAACCATAAGTCGCACCTCTCTGTCTTTATGCCACGATACAAACTTTATCGACTTGACTAAACACCTGTATAACGTTCATTAACATTTATTCGTAAATTTTGAAAACCAATATCCCTTAAGTGAATCAAAATAGTAAGCATCTGGAATATAGCTAATGTAATTTCGAGATCGGAAATCGTCATCTACTAAATGTCCATATATGGAAGGGTGATTCACTTTTCTTAGCATTTTTCTGTCACCTCTAATATACAAAGTCTATCTATTTTTTTTCTACATTTATGATCCGTTGTTCATTGATTTTCGTGATGAAACCCTGTCCCAGCGGCGGCCCAGCGGTGGCGTGGTGACGGCCGCTGCGGCCCGAACTACCCCGCCCCGAGCGCCACCCCGGGGGAGTGTAACCCCGCCTCGGCGGACCCCTGCTGCTCAGAGTGGGGCTGGTGTGGGCATGAGACCGGCCACTGTGACTGCGCTCTCTGTGTGGACTACTCAGGTACTGGACGTTCAAACGGACTTCATGTTCATTACAATAGGGGACATATGAACTACACGTAGCGTTACAATACTTGAATTAAAGACTACGTATAGTCTCGCAGCCTTCCAACTTGATCTTAAGGTCAATCTGCGGTATCCAACGCCTTCCTGGTACTCTACAAACATTCAGATACCTACAAACACAAGCAAATACACTTCCAAATCAATGAATATGTAACTGTAGTCAGCATGTGTTTATGATATGAGTTTGTTAATGTCTAGCTGGCGGTTCCGTCCCGGCCGGAAGCCTGTCGGGAAGCTGCCCCCGGATCGTGACTCGGTCGGAGTGGGGCGCACGGTCCAGCAACTGGGTCCAGTACATCAGCCGGCCCGTCCCGAAGGTAAAGTTTTAATAGATCGCAAGTGAAAAAGGACCAACGTCAATAGATATCAAATACATAGCTTTGAGGTCTAAAAACCTGCTGTTTAGTTGAAATCTTAGTATACAAGATATTATTTTTGCCAGTAGTATTACAATTATAATGTTTTTGTTGTGCCAGTACCAACACAAATGTGTACCCTCCATCCAATGCCCACTGGTTTGCAAGAAAACCTTAGTTGTGCCATGGAGGGAAAAATGTGATAATTTACCTCCATGGTTGTGCCTAATCTTCAAGCAGATAGAGATATGTTTTGGTGGGCGTTTTCTGGCTGCTGGAATTCTCTGATAGCCGAAATCTAATCATAGATCTTGTAAACAACATGTGTAGAAGTTTGATAATCTGTATGACAGAACGAAAATTGAGAAAAAGGCCCGTATCATACCTCAGTGCAGAAGGACGCTACATTTATTTGTGTTATTTCACTATGGAAGGTTTTGTAAACCACGGACGAGAGTTGGTCCTTCTGCCCTGCCCAGGTTGTGATCCACCACTCCACGGGCGGGACGTGCAGCGACCAGGCCTCCTGCTCAGCCAAGGTCCGAGGCTTCCAGAACTATCACATGGACTCCAACGGTGAGAACCAGACGTAACACTGTTTATATGTACCGTGGAAGGAAATGACGGAAGGCACAGGGAAATAATTTCTCCATCTCTTTAAAGGAAGAGGAACACAGCAATTGTGGAAACCATAGGTGCTATAGTACATGTGTAAGTAGTTGGGGAAGTTCAACATTATAAGACAATAACTTAGGAACAAAAAAAAGTTCAACATCAGTGGAAGAGCCAAACTATTAGAATAGTTACTGTGATGATGTTAGAAAAGATGGGAAAGAGTGGGAGAAATAAAATGGAAGAAAAATCTTAAACCTAGTTTGAATACCAGTACAGTAAAGTACGTACAGTTGTATTATTCAACCCATGAAACTCGTGCCTTTACAGGTTGGGGAGATATCGGTTACAACTTCCTGGTCGGTAACGATGGCAACGTGTACGAAGGGCGTGGCTGGGACCAGGTGGGCGCGCATGCGTATGGTCAGAATCACGTATCCATCGGGATTTGCTTCATCGGAGAATTCACCAATCAGAAGCCGAACTCCGCCGCCATCCGCGCTGCCAAGAACCTCATCTCCTGTGGGATTTCTCTGGTACTGCAGTTTCTGTGTGCGCTTGGTTGCTTCTTTGTCTCGCTGTTTCTTCTCCCGAAGCTCTGCTGCATTACTCTGCAAGCAGAGGTTTGGGTTTTGGGTTATTACCTCCATGAAAAATGGAGGTATTGTTTTTGGCGCGTCTGTCTGTGTGTCTGTCTGTCTGTCTGTGTGTCTGTGTGTGTGTGTTTCCGCACATTTGTAGTCACCATAACTTCATAACGCCTTTATGGATTATGATGATATTTGGTATGTTGGTAAGTCTTAGGAAGACAAAGGTCAAGGTCAAATATGGGCCTCCTGGTGGATGACCTTGGTACTGCAGCCGCACTTCCGGTTTTTGTATATTTTGTCATGAACATGCTATGGTCTTGATGTTTTGGTGACAGATTGCTTTTCCTGTCAGGAATATGTGATGTGAGTTTGGTCCCCCTAGCAGCTTGTTCTGGAACTGCAGAGCACTTTCTGGCGAAATGTTTAAAAGCCAATAAGTCCAGATAGGAACAACATATTTTCATAATTTTTGGTGTGTAGGTAGCTGAGTGAGGGATGTACATAATTAAATGCAAATTATGCAAATGAGGACTTAATATGCATAATTAATGAGAAAATTCTATAATTACAGTGTTTTACATAATACTACTTTCATACATGTAATGTATGTAACCTATAGCAGGCGGAACAACAACAGATATTAATTATGCAAATGATGACCTAATTTGCATAATTAATGCGAAAATTGTATGAATGATGGGAATGTCGTACTTGGGACATCTGTAAGTTAATCAACAGGTAACATACATCACGATGCATATATCATGTTAATGCAGAGGTCATTTGCATAATTAAAGAAGAAATTTACATTTACATATCAAGCCCATATTTCATGGATGTATGAGATCTCGGAACTCTTGTTTTTGCCAATTTTTTTAGCTAACCCTAATTTAGGGTTATGGAGGAGCTACGTTGTCTTATATATTGTGGAGGATCTAGTAGAGCTCTCCTAATACATGTATTGGCTTAAACATTTCGAATTCTACTCTGCTTTGATGAACAATACAAAGGTGTAAATCCCACCTCAAATTAACATTAGAAATATAGTGGCCATGTGTTACAGATTACGGGTAATCGCGACTAGTAGTCATACTAGTTTTCAAGCAAGAGGCAAGATGAAAACAAGTATACGAAGTCCACCCTCCAACGCACACAAGACAACATACACACAAATACACAAACTGCACAACACAGTAAAGCCTTTAGATCGTTCTTAAGAACGGTTCCTGACGAAACCGTGTTTTCCGTGTGCTCCAGGGTAAGATCAGCTCGACCTACTCTCTGTACGGACACCGTGACATGGGCTCCACAGCCTGCCCTGGGAACCAGCTGTATGACGACATCAAGACCTGGGGACGATACGTAAGGAAGTGGTAGACGAAATATAAAACAACAACAACTTTGTTGTGATTGTTTTATTATTAGTTTGTACATAATCATATTTTTTCGCGGGGCCTAAGTTAACATTTTTCACTTGTAATTGGCTTCGGGGATTTTCCCCACTTTTGCCACTGCACTATTTCGGGTCCGTTTACGAAAATAGCTACAATATCTGATTATTAATTTCATTTTCGAGAAATGTCAATTTCCAGGTAAAATGCTACCGTAGTAGTGTTTCGCTATTGTATGGTAACGTAATGGGTAATTAAAAGTCTAGTCTATACTACTCGAGAACTATTCACCTGTAGTAGGGGCTCAAGTTCAGCTAAAACGACTAGAACCTGCCGTGAAGTTTTTGAATGTGTTTAGCTCTCTTTGTGGCGGTTGCGTCTTATTTTGAGCGAATGAATTATTACATTTAACTACAATTTTAGAAATTTCATAACTCGTTGTTTTCTCTTTCAGGTTGGTTAAACACAGGAAACACCTGAGAAGACACAATAGAATATTGCTGAATAAATTGAAGATATTGTGAATAACATATTCTTTGTGTAAAATCATATTTTTAAGTTATTAAAGATTCAGAATGTGCAAATAGTTTGGTAGAGCGGTGACTCATGCCTACTGGGGGATATCGGATATACCTGGACTCTGACCACGGCATTTGAAAGTGAAAGGGGAACTTGTCGCTCAAGTTACTGACTGCAATACTAAAATGCAAAAAATAATGGCCTATTCGCTCCCTTGATTGTGGATCCCTATATGTTTTTGGTATTGCACAACCATAGCAAGTAATATATGGACAATTTTCTTTGTAAAACGACGCAAGGGCAGCCTATGTATACCTGACGTGTGCGCTTGATCGTTATTGGTCACATGACCGAAAGCTTTTGTTCGGTTGACAGGTCTTTTGTGTCGGTGAGTGCGGTAAACAACAACGGAAAAGTTCCTCATTTTTACAAGTCGCTGTTTAAGTGCCGCGACATATCACTTCGTCGGTGTGGAGGCAAGTTTGAAAGCCGGGACACGCTGTAAAACCCGGTATGGCTCGTACGTGCTGTAACATTGACCTGATCGTCGCCATTTTGTCACTGTTCTGTAGTACCCAAGGTGAGATTGGCTTCATTATTGTCATTATTACTGACTGCAAATATGTTAACAGAGAGTTTTGTGTGGTCTACTAGGTTCATACGCGTGGAAATGACCGAATCTTTCTTGTACAAAGCCAAAACTTAAATGTCGCGCTTTACTTTTACTTTCACTTTCGCTTGTCTGGCCTTTGCAACAAAACAGACCGTCATGCAATCACATTTCGCCATGATGAAATGTCATTTGGTAGCTGCTAATTGTGTCCAGTTCTGCTCAATAGTTTACATGCCTTGATTTCATGGCAGCTTTCTAGACTGCATCTTTGCCTCATCGTATAAGCAAAGTTACATTTATATTGTATTGTTTAAAACGAATATCCTTTTCTCTTTCCCTCTTGTAAGGCACTATTGTTCCAGGAGGTCAGATCCACGTCACAGTCGGACAGAGACAACATGTCCCTCCGGGCGGCTCAGTCATCCTCCCCTGTAACTACTCCCTACCGTCCGACGATGTCCGGCCGCTGGTCAGCTGGTGGAAGGACAGAGGGCTCGTACTGACCAGACGGATCGTGTACGAACACCGGGCCGGACAGTACAGTAAGGCGTATGACGAGTGGGAGGGGAGGGCCGTGCTCCTCAGACAGGCGTCCCTACAGATAACCAACCTGACTACAAACGACACCGGGAAGTACGAGTGTGAGATCCGGGTTCCTCTGCAGTACGGGGCGGCCCGGGGATTCATCAACCTGGACGTTAGAGGTTTGCTATTTGAACCAAAAGATGATTACCCCTAGTTTGATAGATAGTGCGAACGGACTGAGTATTGATAAATCTCCGGCAAAATACTATATTTCGTTTGTGAAATTCTTATGTTCCTCCATTCCAATATTATACAGATTCATCAGTACCAATAGACTACTCTTCCAGTAGTCCAACCACTTTACGAATTAAAATGGACATGGGTACACTTAAAATTGCATTACCTTTTAAAATAGCACTTAATTCATTTGCAATTTGATAGTATCTGAAATTTAGAATGCGACATCCATGAAATCTGCCATATGATCTTTTCTTTTTCTTTTTTTTCAGATGAAACAAGCAAACCTTCGGAAAAATTCTCAACAGGTTTGTATCCGAAATTGTAAACAACAAATTGTAATCAGACTTAGCTTCGTTATGCTATGCTATGTTGTAGAGTCCAAATGTATATTAAGTTTCAGAAGTTGTTAGCTGTATCTTTGGACCAATATCCATTTAATATTGATGTTTGCCTCTACCGTTCCAGTTCTCATTATCGGGGTAGTTACCGCGGGAGCAGTGATGATGCTGGTCATAGCTGCGGGTTTGTTCTTCATCCGGAGAAAGAACAACACAAAATATAGCAAACAAACACAAGTCAACGCTTAGATCGGCTCAAAGCTGTGGTCTACCTTGCTCACCTATTACAGCTATTCCGGATCCGGAAATAAAACATGTTCTAAGTTGTACGTGCTACGTGTTTTTGTACTTCTGTCGTTTGTGTTGTTGCTGTATCTGTTCCATTATAAGGTTTGTCTGTTTGTAATATGTACACGGGCAACTCACGTGTGTGTTAAGTACTGATTCAAGGGAAATAGAAACCCCGTCAAAGAACACACGTCTTTGGCAAAGACTGTAATATCCAGTGTAAATTTGACTAATAACTTGCCAAAAAAAACCCACTCTATTCTTTATGGAAATAAATGTTAATGTATTTTACTGGAATGGCTCTTTCCTTGCTTGATAACACTGACAAGGCGAGAGTAAATGTTTCAAATAAAAAACAACAACAAAATACCGTCTTAGAAAAACTTATAAAACACAAGTTCGAGACCAATAAATAATTTCATCAGGTTGGTAAATGATTGAATTCTTAAGTTCTTTTACATGAGCCAACGTTTCGGTGACCATCTGTCACCTTCATCAGGGCTGTAATGGCTGGTTTACTGCTCAGCAGGTGTCTGACGTAGTAGGTAGGGCATAGGACGTGAGCCAATCGCACAGCGCGTACTGGGTCATAATCACGAGGTCGCCTCTGACGTAACCCGCGTACCGTGTTTCAAACCGGGAAGTGCCGCTCTGTAGCACCTGACAGATACGGCACGATACAGCGCCGCCCTTGTCCTGTATGGTCTAACACTCAGCCTCGTGACGGCATCGGTGCAAATCCACTGTCAGCCTCTTGTTGAAGAGAAAGCCGGGGTGTGATCAGCAGCATGATTCTGACATCTACTTTAAGCCTGATAATGCTCTTTTTGTCAGGTAGGTGCCAGAATATACATCACTCATATATGTACATCTGAAACCACAGTACGCCTTCAATGTAAATAATTTCAACAGTCGTAGTCTGGTTTAGCGCCGGCCACGTTGGTGTTTCTGTACAAAGTTGTGGATAACAAAGTCGCATTTTAATGCACGTGAAATGATAACAGTTGGTGTGGTTCGATCGGGTACCTGAGCGGACCACGCCATTCTGATTCTGTAAAATTCCATGACTCATGTCGGGGAACACCAGCCACAAATAAACTCCCCCTTTTTGTACGAAGGCTGTGCACATGTTTTTATCTTTGCAGAATATATGCGTTTTTCGTGCTGTATCTTTGATTCAAGCTAGTATTCTGAGCCGAAACACCATGTACGTTGTAGCTTTCAGTTGTTTCCGGGACAGTGTTCACAAGGCCGACAGTTGCTAAAAGTGTGCGTGCACGTGTTCATGTGCCCCCCCTCCCCCATAGATATGCTACAAAATTTGTAGAGAACATGGCAAAATACCGGGCAAGAAAAGTAGAACGCTACAGTCACTGTCAACATATTTTTCTTAGTTACTGCAAGGACATTATAACATGGTTAACTGTGTTTTTACTTTGAATGTTGAATGCAGGTTTTCCGGAAAAGGGAGAAGGCACGGCTGTAGACCTGTATCCCCAAATAGAAGCGGTTCGTTCTGACCTGAACACAACTGTTGGGGAAACAGTGGAAATGGAATTCTTATATGGAGTACCTGTCAACTCCTCTGAGAGGGATGTGGTCAAAACCATATACAAGTTAAAGCACGGTCACACTCCTCCGCGAGAGAACGTGTGTGAGATTTTATCTAAAGGGTCGAACTGTAGCGGACAGTACCAGACCCGCGCCCGCCTGGAGGAGAAAGCTTGGGACTCCGATGACCAGTCGTCGTTCAGGAGAGGTTTGCTGGTCTTAACGTTGGAGAATGTGGTGTTGTCTGACGAGGCGGTTTACGAAGGGGAGGTGAGAGTAGAACGGAGAGGTTACAACCAGTCCAGAGTGTCCATAACAGTGGCAGGTGAGTGTGTATTGAAATCATTGTAAGACTATCAGAATTCAATGTATAACGTTATGTGTTCGGTGTGTGTGTTTTGCGTGTGCGTGTGTGTGGGGGTCGTTACCTGTTACTGGTGTATGCTTCAATATCCTCTTGTTTTTAGTAAAAAAAAGGTATTTATTAAAGGTATTTCTCTCGGAATGCATGCATATGGCTTGTAACATATTATTCGATTTTGTCACTCAGAAGAAAGCCCTCGTTAACAGTTATGTTTATGTACAGGGAAGCAAACAAGTCATACACAAATGGGATTGACATTTTGTCATTTATTTACATATTTGCACATGTACTGTAAGGGTTATCTACTCGGCAAATATAACTGACTTAATCTGTAGCATGAAGTGTATCAAATTCTTTTGAGTGAAAAACGTTATGCCCATATTTTGAACAATCCACGACCTAGCTGTGCTCATGGGGACTTCTGTGGCATCATCTCATGTCTACATTCAATCTGTGATTACTGATTCATATAGGTACTTTAAAGTTAATTGGGACTTTTTTATCGTACAGACGTTCCCTGGTGCCCTTACCGGTCATGTCCAGACGGAGAGTGGTTAGAGTGCCAAACAGATACAGACATGGTGTGTTCATGTAGCTGCCGCCCCGAATGCACCACGTGCGCACCGTGTAAGAACTTTACTTTTTATACAACTGAACTGAACACTGCATTCGTGATTGGAGATTTATAAATTACTCAGTGGAGCAATTTAATTTTAGTTAGATTACGTTTGCATTGTACTGTACTTTGCATCAAGCAATTTTGAGCGAGGCAATTACCTAATGTTATGCTTCCTCTGCTTTGTAGTCGAAATGAGTCACAAGATGTCTTAAACTTGTTGCATGATTTTTCGCTTATTCTAGCTATAGTTGGTGCATATTTCGGAGGGTTTGGCACTGCTGTCCTGCTTCTATTTCTACTTTACAAATGCAGAAACCGTATTAAGGTGAGTTAGTTTTACGTTCTTTTGTATTGCTGAATTCGATTTCAATGCTATCTGGTTTCTCCTAACATTTCATATATGTCATTATGCAAATAGAGTAATGTAATGTGATTTTTTTCAGAATTGTTGCAACCAACGATGATCAACATGGTCAATGAAAAATTCTACATTATCACGGATTCACCTATGTGCTGATATGCCACTTATTGCGTAATAAACAAACCAAAAGCGAACTCTATTTTCTATTCGTTGAAAGTTGTTAAATGTTTTCGTATATGTGAGGTCACTTGTGTTCATTTTTTTTTTAAAACATGAACTAGAAGATATTTGTACAAAGTACATATAGATTTATCTAACTTAGCATTGTAGTGTACACTGGAAGAGGAGTTTAAAGACATGCATGACAGAAAATAAAAAGTCCATGAAAACATTGTTTTTAGTCATCATTCCGTATCAAGTTTTGAACGTGATTATTTGAAAAATGAAATTCTGTGCATCGTAAGAAAGGACGATATAGAATGCAGTTAAGTTAGCTAGAAATCCCTACTACTTAACCGGCACCTTTGTCAAACACATGGGAACACGACTGAACTACACTTAGGTGCCCTTTTTGTGCTGTTCGTCTGAGTAAAAGAAAATTCACAGTTCACCAGTCCCTATAGTAGAGTAATTTGACACCTTGTTTGTGTCATGGTCATTGATCATGGCGTCCGTTACGTCATACTGAAACTAGGTGTATTGTATACAGTGTGACGTACGTCAAAGGTTAAGAGTAGTCCTGAGGATTGTAGCTTCTGAGACGCTATAAAGTACCCATGAAATCGACGTATTTGTCAAGGGACTAAATCTCTGATAATATATTTTCTAAGTTGACCAGTCAAGGTCATCTAAGCAAATACACTAATCTTTGTGTGCGGACTGCTGCGAGACAGCGACCAAATGGCGCGTATTGGTGTAAACAAAGTTGGCGCCATTTTGTTCTTCTTGCTGTACTCGAACGCCACGCCCTTGTTCGTCGCAGGTGAGCTGTTTCTCTTTTCTATCTTTGTACAGTGGTGATGTGAATCATGTTCGTAATACATTGATACGTGTATTATGTGGTTTAGACACTTCCGTAGTGCTTATTTAAGCGTGTCAACATGTCAAGACAGGTGCACTCAACCGTTCATTTGAGATACGTCACCTTCAACATTCGCTTGCACATTGTACATTCAATATCGCGATTTATCTTGAGTTATTTCTCTTACCTGTCATTTGTGGCAAGTGCGGGACAACAAGAGACTACCACTAGAAGGTATCTGTTAGAGAATGTGCATTGTTGACCTGATGATGAGCTGAAAATCTAGCAAAAGTGTTTGTAATTTTACTTTCACTTTCGTTCATCCCTGGGGCGGCCAACATAGTTCCGTGTTTGTTATACAACTTGCCCAAGCTCTGTCGTTGCTACGGGCATTGACAATTCTTATGCAGTACAAGTAGTACAATAGTAGATATAGAGGTGTACATTCTGTAACTTGATACATTTGACATATTTCTATTTTTTTCCTTTCAAGGCACCGTGGTCCCAGGAGGTCAGATCCACGTCACAGTCGGACAGAGACAACATGTCCCTCCGGGCGGCTCAGTCATCCTCCCCTGTAACTACTCCCTACCGTCCGACGATGTCCGGCCGCTGGTCAGCTGGTGGAAGGACAGAGGGCTCGTACTGACCAGACGGATCGTGTACGAACACCGGGCCGGACAGTACAGTAAGGCGTATGACGAGTGGGAGGGGAGGGCTGTGCTCCTCAGACAGGCGTCACTACAGATCAGCAACCTCACTACAAACGACACCGGGAAGTACGAGTGTGAGATCCGGGTTCCTCTGCAGTACGGGGCGGCTCGGGGATTCATCAACCTGGACGTTAGTGTTTATGGAGGTGTGTTTCACCTAGATTAAGACCATTAACATCCATCCGTTCTTTCCTTATCTCGTCTTCCTCCTCAGATGTCAACATTTCCATTTCGGATAGAACCTTTAACGGTTTAATCTTTGTCGGGCTTTCGTATGTGGTGTCCCTGAGTGTACACTAAAGCGTAGATAAAGATACATTTTTCCGTAGGATTTGTTAATTTTGACTGTAGGGCTGTGGCGTTTTCATTTTCCTTCAGGTGCATTCGTCATGGTTTAGAGGAAGGTACTAAAAGTATATCTGTTACCCAGAAGTGTTCTATATAGCTTCATTGCGATATCGATGCACGTCATGATATTACGACATCCCTGAAACTTCTATATCTTCCGCTTTTACTTTCAGGTAAAAACAACCCTTTAGGTAAACTACAGACAGGTGGGTATATTTTAGATACTTTCATTGATGTTTTATTGATAACAGTTTTCCTGAATTTGCCCAGTTGGACGAGTTACGTATACTGAAGTTTGACTTTTCCGTTTTTTGTTCCAGGATTCATTGCCGGCGGTGGGGTAGTGTTCATATTGGCCACAGCCGCCATACTGACTCGCATGCTACGTAATAGGAAAATGAACACTTCGGCACCGAAATATGACAGACAAGTTAACATGTAGTTGTACAGACCAGGATTGGGGGGGGGAGGGGGGGGTCAACATCTTATGCCTCCCCTCGTCTTGGCTGGACGAGGTCCAGGTTTCAATACCTACCGTATCTGTGTAACTTCAGTTTACCTACCAAAGGTCACACTTTCATGTCACTGCCTATGTCTTTCACTCGTGACGCGCTGCCGTGTAATCGGTTTTGTTGTAACATGCACCGTCCTTGCGAACACATTCCATTGTAAACACGTCTGACTAATGCGCTACAATTTATTCATGATAGTATCCAAGTGGAACTATCCAGTTTTCTATGAAAATAGATTAAACATTGATGTGGAAAACTATGCTCTACATGTGTGGACGTAACATTATCTGTTTCATTATCTGTTCTGACGTCATGGTTTATGTGTTCTAGTTTCACACGCTGTTTTGCGACACGCAGAATTAAGGCGATTGATACTACATATATATTTATTGCAATGTTCAAGCGATTTCAGTTGAAAATAGAGGTTTTATTTAAAAAAAAACATAATTTACAACCATATTGTGTTTGATATAAAAGTCATGGGCGCTGCTACTCTCTCGGGCAGTTCCACACTCGTTTACAAGAACTCGTCCTTTCAAATCACGAGTTGCAAAACATTTTACACAACACAATATAGTCATCCTGGTTATATGTTATCAAAAGCAAAGTACAGTTGAATTGATTACGTATGCATTTACCGAATAAAATTGTTAACAAAAAAGGTGTTTTACAACTCTCTATTCGTGTAGTAGATAATCGTTGGTTGTCATGGTCCTTTTCCTTTTTGATTGTCAGATTATGTGCGTGAATTCCATTATAGTATATCAACAATAACACATCAGCAAACTCAGTAGACAGTGGCCATACGTTCCTAGACATTAGAATACTAGTAATACTCTCTCAGCGTACAGGCTATCTTTGGCAGCAGGATGCACAAAATGTTATATAGCGGCAGGGCTTTGCATGGCCTAGACTAAAACGCTAAAATTGACGTAACACCACAGTGTATGCAGTGAGGTGCATTCGTGCAATGTAGACGCCTGCAGGCTCTAGACTATATCGGCCATGTTGACGTAACACCGCTGTAGTGAGGTGTACTGGTGCCCGGTGGACGCCAGCAGGGTCCGCTCCAGTTCTGCCGTGACCTCCGGGAAGGACGGCCGGTCGTCAGGGTCAGCCGCCCAGCAGTGTAACATCAAGCCGTGCCTGGAGAAACAAGAGCGGGGGGAAACATGACGTACAAGTAGTTGCAAGAATGTTACATGCGTACATGGCATGCTTGGCTTTTGAGAATGTCACGGTTGGCACAAAAGGTTCAATGTCTTCATAATACAGTAGATTCAAATGCTATATTTCCCCGGATAAAGTTCCTCCTCTTGTACTCCGAAGAACATGTCAGATAACTAGATACTAGAAGTCCTGCCTGCCTGCCTGCTTGAATGTAGTAGTATAGAAGTCCTACCATAACTTAAAAGTCGCTATGGAGTGGTTATATTTCGCACTCACAACACAAGAAATCTGCAATTCTTGCAAACGCAAGTCATCATATACCTGCTGAAAAAAAAAACAGACCAACACACAAACAAACAGAGATACACATCGGAAAAAATAACTAAGTTCACGAAATAATATTACTAATGATAACAAGAAAAGAAACATGTGCCAGCAAATAACGGAATTTCAAGGATTGTCCCTAGACGTACAGTCTCTCCGTGCAGTACTCGGGACAGTCCAGGCGGTGTCCTGAGCAGACGAAGCCCGCCACCTCACAGTTGTTGAGCTGCTGGTACGGCTGCAGACCCCGGGTCATCACCTCCCACATCAGCACACCGAACGACCACTGAGGACAATGTAATAAGAAATAGATGCCCACATATAAGAATACACAGTTGATTATTCTCACAGCTTTCTAAGTCTATAAAAAGTAATATCCCTTCAGGCACAAACATGCAAAACACTTCATGGCATATTAATGAGGTCTAATTCAGATAATTGATTTTTTTCGTACGGAAGATGCTGTTTTGGCGACGCCTTAGGAGCCAGACCTGGTGTTACTTTTGGAGAGATAACATCGCTGAAATGAAATAGCTAACTTCTGATAATACAGTATTACAGTACAACAATATCGAAGACATTTAGCTTTGACAAAGGGCAATCAAGTCGCATATTGTGCTCCCAAACACAAAAAAGAGCCTCGCTTCGCAATCTTATCCTGGTAATAGACGCTTTACCATTATCAACACTGAGAGTGTACTGACCACGTCTGTCTTGGTGGTGTAGGTCCGGCGGCGGAAGCTCTCAGGTGCCATCCACCTGATGGGCAGCTCCCGGTCGTCCTCGGCACCCAGGCGGTAGTACTGCTTCGTGTGGAGGTGACGGGACAGGCCGAAGTCTCCAACCTTCACCTCTAGATTCCCGTTCACCCTGCAGCACATACAGAGACGTTTACATGTATATTAGAAATGTTTTAGACATATACATGTCTTCAAAGCAAGAAATGCAGTGATTCCAAGGTCCTAGATATTCAAGAGTCGGTTACATCTGTCATATGAAGTTTCAGCTCAGACAATTGAAAGTAACATTCGGCAGTCATGGGTGTGTTGTGCCATACTGCTCCTTGTCGTGCAGATGTCTTGTGACTGGAAATGTTGTCGTAGATTCTTGTCGACGGTCGGGTCTGCATGACCACTCTGACTGAAAACTGTGAGACATTCGCTAGAGAAACCCATACTTATACTGAAGTGGTACTCACATGCAGTTGCGAGCGGCCAGATCCCGGTGTACAAACTTCAACATGGACAGGTACTCCATCCCTCTCGCAACGTCCAGACAGAAGGTGCAGGCCTGTTTCATGGACACGTCCTGTTGTATGGGAGGAACACATGTTATAGAGACTGTCCTGTCTGCAATGCCGTTCCTCTATTAGTGTGAGGCTCTAAATTCTTAACGTTCTATCAAGGTGATGATATGAGTGTCCTTTGCTATCTGTATTCAGATGTCTAAACAATATTATACATCAAGCGCGTACATGGGGGGCAGCTAAAAACTCCAGGTCTACATAACTACACGAAGTTGGTTCTGAAGGTAATGGTACAGTTTTCCATCATGGTGACAAAACAACACCAAAAGAGCCCCAACTACCGTTATTTCTCGTGTCTTACATTTTCGTCGTTCCGTAGGTATGCCAGCAGACTGCCGTGTGTCATGAAGGGGAGGATGACCGCAGGGTAGCCGTCCGGCGGCACACACACGCCGATCAGCCCCAGCACGTTCTTATGGTCAAAACCCTTCATGGTGATCCCTTCTTGTAGAAAACCTGCCACTTCTGGAGCTCTGGCATGGGAGGTCGCTGCGTGAAAGAGATGTTGTATTTCTTTCAGATACAGTCGGGAAAAGTAGACTATTAACTGCCATAAATTAAACACAATGTGAAATTGTTTACAGTGACATTGACTCGTTCACAGCAGGTACTATGTAAAACTATATGACCGTGATTTGTTTATAATTTTAGTCACATATTGCCACCTTGTAGTGTCTTGACAGCGACGGTTGACATCCTCCCGTCTTCTGACCTCAGCCCTGCTTTGCGGACAAGACCAAAGTTTCCTGTAAGACAAGACAAGAAAGCTTTTTGTACAACAGAGGAACGTCGGCCTTTTTGTTTATACCTATTATAGAAATAAAAGTGAATAAAACTTCCCAAATGTTCCAAATTATTATTCTTTGCGCCGTCTTATGTTGCTACGTACACTCAAGAGTAAAAGACTATGAAAGGCCATGAACCACAACTGAACAGTCCTACCCTCGTCCAGCACCCTGCCGAGCTCCAGACGTTCCGGGTCCATCAGTACGTCCTGCAACTGTTGCACAAGCGGGTGGTCTTCTGTCAGCCATGGACACGTCCTGGACGACACGGCGAAACCTAGCGGAACTAAACAAAAGTGCCTTGTATCAGATACATACTTGTAGCAAGCTCCAATAACAATAGTTGTTCAGCCACAAACACCATTAAAGACAATCACAGTTAAAAACAAACTCTGCAGAAAAGATAATCCTCTTGGCGAAGGTAAAATCCTTACTCTGCTCTTGGACGCTGGAGTCAGAGCTCGTTATCGGGTTTTCATCGTTGCTTTCTTCTTGCGCAGCTCCGTCAGCCGTTAATTGCAGATTGGAGACAACATGGTTGGTAACCCTTGTCCTGGTCCCCTTGTCCCGGGGTCCTGGTCTTGGCGCTCTCCGTTTCCAGGTGTCTCTCAGCCGGACGATCAGAGCCAGACATAGAGCGACTCCGCCAAGAGATGCTAACGTCATGGTCGCGATCTTCAGGGGCGTCAGACTGGCATCCGGGTAACGGTCAGTGACTACTGTGTCATCTGGGGAGGAAGAATCATTGTCACGCTGTATTTAAGGAAAAACCAATGTAAGTTGTTTAATGAAGATCACTTCAATCCACGTTATATTACGAATAAAATATACAAAGTTGAGATTAGTAATACCGATGCATAAGTCGGTAACCGTTGCGTTCAGACCAAGGATCTTCATTGTCCGATCACGTTTGTGATATCAAAAACTACCGATAATGGTAATCAATGTCTATATATAAAGCCTACCTATGATTGGCTCTACCCGGTTGACTGTTGTCCAAGGTGCGGAGGCTCGCGAGCTTGAGGTTCTGATGTGAGCTGTACGTGTGGTCCTGACGACCAGGTCGTCTTTTCTGGCAGTGGATGGCGGTGACGTAGCCGGCGGGGGCGTGGCAAATGGACCTGCGGCATAGTTATAAACGAGCTACGTCACCCCACTACACATTATAGCATGATTTTGTTTATCATAATTAAATACATATCGATGTCATGTGACGGTGAAATGACATTAAACTGGATTGTAGTAGGCCTTTGAAATTGTCTATTGATAGTATAATAAACAAGTGTCTCTTTGTACAAACTAGCATTATATGTTTAAAGATGGGACATATATCCACTCAATTAATCAAATTATCGACTAACCATGGATGATAAGTTCTTTTGTGGCCAAGACGACTCCGTCCTTGGTACTGCACCTGTACCGCCCGCTGTGCTCGGGCCGGGCCTGCGGGATGTAGTAGCTGTGCGTCCCGTGTTCGTTCACCACGCCGTCCGCCGGGAGAGACATGCCCACCCGGCCCCACCGCACACCGCCCGCCAGCGGAGGGTTACTGTCCACCTGACAGTGTAGGTACACACCCCGGCCGGCAGTCACCCAGGGAGGGGTGATTGTTATAGTTCCTACTGGCGGATCTGAAACAACATTAAACGTATTTGGTGCAGATTGGCAGTAAAGAAACCATGGCTTTACAGTTTAAACTGTTTCATAAATCATAAATCACGAAACACCAAAAGGACGGCCACACAATCAAACGGCCGCACGTCCGCACTAACGCACACACACACACACACACACGCACACACACACACACACACACACACACACACACAGAGAGAGAGAGAGAGAGACGCACGCACGCACGCACAAACACACGCACGCAGAGAGAGAGAGAGAGAATGGGAGAAATGCGGTCAGTGTTCATTGCTAGATCTGAATACAAAAAAAGTCGTCTATGAATGTACTTTCACAAAATCTTGACTAAATGACAAACTACTAGTAACTTACAGGTAACGTTCAAGTTAACGGAGTTAGCGAGAGTTTGTCCGCCATCTTGTACCGCCGTACACGTCACCTGGGCCCGGTTGTCCTCTTTGGACAGTCTGAGGTTGAGTGTGGAGGAAACTTGTGAGTCGGTAGTGGACGTAGGTGTCTGTCCTAAGGTTTGTCCGTCTTTCGTCCAGATGATGTCAGGTGCAGGGTGACCACCTGCAGACGTGCAGGTGAGAGTGAGGGCGGAGCCTGCAGGTGACGGGACGTTGCCTTGGATACGCGGCGGGTTGGCGGGAACTGAAAACACAGAACGGCATACCGATTCGTAAACTATCACGCATACATAATGATATACCATGTTAACTGCTACCATAGAAACGTTACCTTAATCATAAGAAGCCATGATAATAAAAGGCAGCCAACAACTACATGTACAGGAAAGGGAAACGAAAATGATAGTGGGCTGATTGTATCCAATTTGTGGTGCAAACAACCGCTGTGAACCATTTTAGCATCATTAAGTATGACGTTACAGTCAGAAGCAAGTATCTTGTTGTTCGCGTTTTCTTTCAAGTAGATGTAACATATAACAGTTATTGAAAAGTTGTTGAACGTACCGATAACGTTAAGTGTGACGTAGCCTCGGCCAGCTCCGTACCCCAAGTGCCTAATCTCACACTCGTAGGTCCCGAAGTCTTCCGTACTGACTCCCGCTATCCGTAACGACGCCTGGTCGGTAAGAGACGTGCGCCCCTCCCACTGGTCGTACCCCCGGCCGCCTGGATCCCCGGCCCGCCCGGCCTCGTACACCGCCTGGCGCGTGTCAGACGACACGGTGGGTTCCCGCCACCAGGTGATGGTGACCTGGCCGGCGGGGTGGCTCAGGGTGAAGGTACAGGGGAGGGTTGCCGTCCCTCCCGGTACGGCGTGTACAGGGAACGGGGACGTCTCCACACGGACCCACGAACAGGACACATCTGTGGTTTCAATAATCGATCACATGGCTAAAATTAGGTGAAGATATACCATATTTCTGTATATCGCTGTGTCCAGGTTGAAACTCCCATATATTGGCCATAGTATCATTTTCGTTATCAATTTCGTTGGAATGTACACTAATATTCCATATTCTATACATCTCAGTTCTGACTTGGTCATTTTGAAACTGATAGTAGAAGTGGGCGTGTTTCTAAAAATAACACCTGTCAACCGCTGTTTTGAATATATTCTCAACTTCACACAAAGTACTAGTAGTACGTGCTTTTAGATAACACAACAATGTATAGAAAGAACCTAAAAGAGCTATCTGCCTGTCGAAAATCCTGACCATAGCATGCCCTAATCTCCAAGCAGATTCGGCGGGGCAAGGGGACAACAAAAGTCCCCGTGCCCCACCGAATCTGCTTGGAGATTGATAAAAGCATGCCCAGCTTGAACACGAGATATCGAAACCGGAAGTTATGGAGCAGTACCATAGGATGCCGCTAGTAGGCACAGATTAAGTAGAGAGAGAACATACATGTAAGTATATCACGTGCACGTACATATAAACAACAGTGCCTTGTGAGAGCCAAAACAGGCTTTGCCAGTTTTGTTGCTGTGGGCGGTATGGGGGAGTCGTTATCACCATCAATTCCCTGAACTTCTTTGTAATCCTTTCGTTGCCTGAGGGAATGTTTCTCTACCAGCCTATTTTAGTATTTACGTTTACCAAGAGGTGTCGAAACAAAAACGTGTCATTTTTATTTTCTGGATCGTACAGAATGATGCTAATCAAATATAAGCGAAGTGATTACACCATCCTTACGATCTAATGCATGTATATCAATTTCCGTGTACTTTTTTTGAAAAAAAAAATGGATTCATATTAGTCACATTGTAAGAAACTACACAAGCCTTCAACGTTACACGTTTACAATCTACAAGGAAACGAATACAATATGTAGCAACATAACATAACAAATCAAAGCATTACGTCCGGTATGTATACACAACGTTACCATACATTAGCACTTCCGTATAGTCTTTCCAAGTGACATCGGGATAGACAAGACCGTGAACTCCACACTACAAGGCCACACATACATGCACCAGCTAGCAGGAACTAAATACCGTGAAATAACCACATAATGTGCTGTGAAAAGGTTAACCACCGCCCATAAGTAAACCACAGGAACAGCGCGCGGGAAGTTTTCAGTAACCACAGCAGGTGGCTGAGGCACCTTATGGCGCGTCGCTGACTTTTGCACTCACCTGTTACAAAGGTTAGTACATGTAGTATGGCTACAGCACACAGCCATTGGACGTCCCCTGGCATGGTCAGGCCGACCGACAGACGCTAACTCTACATCAGGCTGACACAACTCTACAAACCGGTCTTATTCTAAAACAGCTACAACTTCCTCAAGTGTTTCAACTTTCGTTTTCAACCTGTCAATCACGTGGCTACACCGTGTTACCTACGGGGTCACAAAGTTTCAGTGCTGTTTTGGCCAATTGCCAAAATTACCTCCCGTTGTGTAGCTTAAGCTTGTCTGTTCCTAAATCTACGCTTTGTGTTTGTTTATGATATTGGATAGATCTAGAACTATTGCTTACATAAAAAAAAACAAGCAAACAATGTGCACAGTGTGACTACGATTTGTTATGATGCAGTACAAACGATGATTTGTTCAAGTATTTGACGGGTAAACAATATACTTGTTGTAGGTGTTCTGAATACTTTCGCGTCTGCTAAGTGCAGATTCAATTAGACCAAAACCAATAGGCTTACAGAGTATCTAGGATTCAACGAGACATTGGCAGGTTTTGTTGTTTTGGCCGCCAAACCTTTCGATCACGATATTTAGTCAGCATAGCTATTAATAACCATTGTCACATTGTTGTGTTGTGTCTATTCAAAATGAAAGCTATTGCGGTGCTATTTCACTTTATAATCATGTGAAACTGTATTAAGCAAAACACTTGGTGTTACCATGTAAAAGAACAGGTATTTGTGATTAAAAAAATATGCTGGAAGTGAAACAAGAAGCAGAAAATACACCAAATTCTAACTAATACACTAACTGAAACTTAGGAAGTTTTGATGAACCCAAAATATAGGACAAAAACAGTAGTTATATTTGTACATGTTCAATACAGCTTTAATATTTCTGAATTACCTGATCACAATCATTTTACAATCATCGGAAAATTTACAGCCAGAAATTTTGGACTTTCACAAGCAAATATGATAAAAAAAATGCCAAAGTATGGTGTCAATATAAATACATGCAATATATAAATACAACTTGACAAATGATTGTCTTGTGGGCACACACCTACACTGGGCATAAATATTAGAATCTCACATAATATGATCTTGTACAAAAATATCTCCAAATAAAAACTTTTGGCCTGTACAGTTCATACAGAAGGAACGAGAACAAGACAGAGTATTCGACCTTGGCACATTCACGCATATGTACATCATCAGCTTGTAAGACGACTAGAACAACATATACAGCTGGCTTCTAATAAAAATTCAACACAAAAACAGGCCAGGAATAAGATGACAGCTTTGCTCAAATCACACACAAAGGACATATCCAAACATATCTTACTTTTTCCGAATTTCAATAGTTTCCATCTACCTATAGTTTGGCAACTAGGCGATGTGAACTCTTGTTTCACAGACGTTGCCCAATAAAAATTGGTTAAAATATCCGCACATCTACATATAGTAATTCCTTGATACTCTGTATAGAATAGTTTAAAATCATGTCATGTATACATTCTATACTCTGTTGACTTGGATAACTAAAGGCAAGATATCTCTTTTTTGCACATTGAGAAAGTCTACACCGTGTTGGAACAGTTGAGTTGTCGTTATTCTTGACAAGTTGGCAAGGGTGGCAACCACACTTCGGACATGTATGTAAGTACAATTAACAATGGCCAACTTTGATACTCTTATACTGGGTAAATTTATCTTTTAAAACATACAAACAACCGAGTCCATCAGACTGGTAGGGTAGAAATTTTTAACTTAACAACTTACATGTAGTCCCTCCTTTCAAACATTTCGTACACCTATAGACATGACCTCAGCAATTGCTACATGACTTTGTTAATCTCTGCCAAGTGAGTTCATATTTTAAGCATCCTTTGTAAGACCACTAGTGAGAAGAATCAACCCACAGACAAGTTAGAAGTGACCACTCCAGATTTCAAAAGCCAGTGGAATCTTGCGTAGTGATTGCACCAATGTTACCTCAGTTGCAACCCTCCACTTTCAAATTCATAACAGTCAGGACCATTTTCTTTGGCACTCTGATGGCACAAAACTTGCTCAGTCAGTATACAAGAAACTGTTTCTCATTTCAGTCATTTAGACAAACACAGCTACCTTCCATTTCTTTACAGCACCTTTGCGAAATCAGACAGTCTATATCTTTACATGTACATGTACATAGCAGCTCACTAATCATGATCCAAAAGCCTCAATTTCTAGTGGTGAGAGTGAAGCAAACCTTTCGGACCATACTACATCATCTTTCAGTTTACGTAACATTGTACGTGGAACTTGAACATGAGAAGTGATACATCCTGTGACAGCTTTCCCTACATTTCTTCCCTATTGATACTGCTCTGGTACTACAGTGTTACATGGTTGCTGGTTGATGTGTTGTTGAGCAGGGCAGGTCCAGCCTATGTGTGAGAACAGATGTAGTTGGAGAGGTAGGTGATGAGGTGAGGCTGTTTCCTGCTGGCCAGGTTCACAAGCTGGGGCAGTACGGAGGAACCTAGGTCAACCTAGAAACAAGGGGAACAAAAGACTGAGAATCAAAAGGAACCTTACAACATAAGGATATACATGTATAATCCTGTAGGTGTCAAACAGACATTGATCGATCAGAATTTCCATTCTATAGATTTAACTTTTACAGTGTCAACCAGCTACAGAAAAAGAATATCTTTGTTATCATACAATGTATTTCTTTTAGCAATTTGTTTACTAAATACTAGCTGTCGTATACTTGTTTTGTCTCAGTTATACATTTTGTAGCATTCAATCAAATATTCCTGTTACCTTGAATCTGAAGAAAATAATGTATATTTTCACAATCTACATGTAGTTCTGGTAACCCCAGCCTATACCCCTGGTCTTGACAAGGAGAGCTAGTCCAGCCTTACCTGGATGAGGTAGGCCACCCTGGTCACCTCCTTGTTGCCCTGGACCACAGGCTCCAGCACCAGCCCACACTGGGACAGGTGACCTCGGGTAACCCCTGCTGTCAGGGGGCAGCTGGGATGGGACACAGACTGGGCTGCCAGGACGTGCCGCCCTCCCTGGGGACACAGAGGGACAACCATCTTCAATGACCAATCAGAATCTCCCTTCTCCTAATGAAATCTATGAGATATCTGTGACATCACCATCAGCAATACCCAACTGTTGCAGGCAAATTTGCACAACAGGTTACTGAAGTCATTCAGCCCTTATACTTCAAGGATAGAACAACACTCACTATGGAAAAAAAAACAGTAGCTGTGAAACCACCTTTCTTACAGGATAGTAAGTATACCAGGTCATTAATTATCTTATACTGATACTTCTATGAACTGCAGAAGTGTAACTGACCTGGCTGCTCTCCTGTAGCAGGCAGCAGAAGTCCCGTGGCTGCTGCAGGAAGCACTGTGATGTCTCATGCACACTGTGCACTGGAAATTAACGGACAACACATGTTACAGTTACTCACTGTCAAATGCAACATCTTTCATCAGAAAAGTACTAAACTTCATAAAAGAAAGAATACCAAAACCAAAAGACCATCATGATCATAGAAAGACAGTGATTCAACTTCAGTTACTTACCAATTCTTGCACCTCTTCCCAAAGTAGCCACAGTTCTTATGTCCTAGTACATAGGAAAAACCAACATTTTGTCAGACTTTCAGACAAGGACATTTATAGAATAATGATGTTCAAACAACATGTCTACAGCAAATTCACCTTGTTCATATTTGCATGAATTTTGAGTGTGCATGTTTAAAAACCTACTAGTTCTATTGTGACATTCTGATTGAGGGATGAAGAAAAGTTACCTTGAGTGTCCTGTCATAGTGTCGCCGTGTGTTCAGGTCCCTCACAACTCCCCACACTATCCCCACTGGGGCTGCCACCAGGCCAACCCCAAGGAAACTAGGAGGGAAAGAAACTGTCAATTTATGAATTGAGTTATGGAGAACAAAATGGCTAAGTCTCCTTTGTATTCAACTCAAACCATAGTTTCACTTCTGCTTTATATTGCTTAATGCTGTTATATCAGTAAACCCTAGGTAAGAACATGATATTGTAGTAAAGCATTCTATTATCTCTTCCTCATGCAATTGGTTCCTCATAATGTGTTATCATGAAGCAAAAGACATATCTGACTCACCAGTGGATTGGTGAGTTGTCAAGGATTTTCCTGTAGATCACCACATCTTTCTCTTCTGACTGGAAGCTGGAGGGACGGACAGAATTATAGGACTTTAGTAAGCATGTGTGTTTGTAGTTGGCAGTAAAGAGGTACTTACATGGTATGGATTTATAGAAAAATTTAACAAAGTAGAAATGCAGCAGGCAATACACATTCTGTACTCTGTCTTAAAATGGTTAACCTCAAGTTAAAGTAAGATATCTTAGAAACCACAGTGTGAAGACTTTGAGGAGTAAACTTACATCCAGCCTCCAGCAGCCCGAGGCCTGGAGAAGCCCCCAGCACCACCCAGCACCTGGCTCACCTGTGTCAAATGTGCAACACCTTAATACACCTGGATCATACAGCTGGACACCTCCAGTCAAACATTATACAGATGTCAGTACAGACAAACCAAACCACCTCTTCTTCAACCTGTTAGACACTGTTAACTTTCAACCAGTATTTTTTGACGTTAGAAAGAGGGAGGTTGTCAATATTGTAGGATGGGTTCACATCTGGTGTAAAGTAGTCAGGCTTACCTCGCTCAGTACATGTGATGTCAACCGTGGGCCAAGTGATGTGAGGTCTTCTGGTTGGGCAGATCCTGATAAGAAAATTAGGAAAACAGGTTAACATCGGAATACTTAAGCTGTGGGAGGAATTTCTAGCATGTAATAATATAATCAGTGTTCTGTCTAGCTCTAGATTTCTCTGTTGAGCTCTTGATTTTTAACCCAATCTAAATTTTTCACCCCATTGTACATGAAAATTTTGTCTGTTGAGATACCATAATAGTAGCAATAATATTTAATGGAATGACAGACCCAGGGTAAAACCCTAGGTATGCTGCTAAATGTTATGATTAGGCCTAACCCTTTTTGTTGGATATCAAAGTCCAAACACTTACTGGGCTCCTGACTTGGACTGGCAGTAGTTTCTGGGCTGTCCTGAGGTGTTGGTCTTGTGGTCCCCTTCAACAAGTTGTTCCTCTGTCTCTCCACCCTCTCCTGGTAGTGCCTGTCCATCTCATCCCATGTCTCCACACTCACCCTCTTGGGGGGAGTGTACCGTTCTAACTCTACAGGAATGTCTTCTCTCCTCCTCTCTAACCCTGCAACATAGTCCCTTGTTCTAGATGGGGTTTCCTCTCTTAATCCTCCTGCCTGGGTTTCCCTGGTAGGATGCTCAGGATCCATCAAACCAGCTCTTGGGAGGTCCTTGTTTTGTTGGCTGAACCTTGCTGATGTTTCCTGTACTCTGGATGAGGTAAGTTCTGAATGTGTGGCAGTGTGTGTAGTATCTTTCCTCCTGAACTTAGCGTAGAAGTCCTCTGCGGTGTGGTACTGGGGCTGGTCTCTGGTCACGATGGAGTCGGCAGTGTTTCCGTAGTTGTCCCAGGCTAGGCTGTGCTCTGTGCTTGCTATAGACAGCGTGTCGTCAGAGAGATACGGTGCTGAACTGATGTCTGACATGGAGTCCAAGTCTGACGGGTACACGGCCCTTCCTCCACGAGGTGCAGCAGGGTCTGTAGGTGGACTGTATCTAGGATAAGCCTGCTCTATTTTCTGTAGCGATTGGGAGAACTGGAAATCCTTTGGGGTGGTTTTCCCTCTCCTGTGGGGTGCAGCAGCTTGTGTAGTGAGGTTGGGGTGCAGACTGCTGGGGCTGGGTGTAGCCTGTGTTGTGTTGTGCAGACTGCTGGGAGTGACCCTGGCTGTAGGTGACCTCCCCCTCACACCCTGCAGGGACTCGTCTGAGGCAGGCTGACCCATCAAGACAGCTGCAAACAAACAAGCAAACATTACAGTTTAAAAACTTCTTAGTTCCAAGAGGTATGAGATTTTCATTGTCAGCAAGTTCAATGTCAACATCACAGGGCAATAGCTCAACAAGAAATAGCTCAGAGAGGCTTTTCATAAAATGCATTCAGCTAACAGACAATGCAGAGCTATAAAAACAAAGATGGGCACAGTCCTGGAAAGTATTTTAATTTCTGGCTGAAAAACTATTTCCATGGAGATGCAAAATGTCTAGTTATATATAATGAAAGTTACATGTGGAAACATACCTCTCCTGGCCCTCTCCCTGATCCTCTGCAGCTGTGCAGCTGCAGATGTGAGGATCTCCTCAGTCTTGGTGTAGTGTTCATCCACACATCTGCTCACAGACGACGTGGTGGAGGAGACGGAGGAGGTGTCACTGTGCTGCCGCTGGACAGGACGGGGGGCCAGGGGACGATCAACTGGACGGGGGGCCAGGGGACGCTGGGGACGGGCAGGCTCTGGGTGGGGTGTGTGGTCAGTCTTGATGGAGGAGAGTGCCGTGTACTGCTGTCTGAGCTGCTGTATCTCAGCATCAATATGCTTTGAGAAAGAAATGAGAAATAAAAGTCAGACACCTTGCAGGCAAGGCAATACATGACTGTGATATATACTTGAAAGAAATGTACCTCAGTTTCAATTTCATACTTATTATATACACTGTGCATGCATCACACATATACACAACAGACGATAGTGAAGAATAAAGTGTACACAGCCAAGACACAGAAGGTACAAGACACACACATACAATACATCTGTTTAGGAGTATAGTAGACACAGTGAAGGAAGGAAGTGAGAGAAGGATCATGACAAAACATCTTAGAACATCAGCCTGAAGACAACAGCAGTGGTAAGGAACTGTGTTTTAAGATGGTAATACCACCGTTCACTGTGAGACTGATGACTCGTGAAAGGTATGGCAAAAACAGTAGGAAGTAGACATGTTGGGAAGGATATGACACATGTACACCAGACCTCATGCATACACTACCTGCAATGGGGATCCTAAATATGGGGAATCCTGACAGCTTGTGGAGCAAGAAGAAACAGAGAGACCACAATACAGTTGTAAGTAGATCAGAACAATGGGACAGGTATTCAAGTTCACTGCAAACTAAGTTATGAGCAGGTGCAGGGAAAGTAAGGCCTCACAGCCTTCAGGCTTCAACTATTTGGATTAGGTATTTTAAAATCAGGTAGCCAAGAAAGTCACATTTTGCACAAAGTAATAAGCACTTCCTTCTTCACATAAACCAATCATGCATTTTACATTAAGTGGGAAGAGTCTGTAATGCATACCTGGTCAAGTATTGGTGACTGTGGGCTGTCATGTGTTGGTGGTTCGTCCAACTGCCAGGGCATCTGTCTGGTCTTCCCTCCCTCTGTCTCTGCAGGTGTCCTGACTGGTTTCTCCCACTTCAGTAGGCTCTTCTTCTCCTCCACCACGGCTCTCTCTACGTTCTTCACAGCACTGAGTTTCTCCTTCTCCACCGTCCTCAGGTGTTCCATCTCCTGTTGGAGCCTGCGGCGCTCGCTCTCCGTCCTCTCCCTCAGCTTCTGCCTGGCCTTGTTGATCTCCATGTCAGCGTGGTGCCGGGCCCGCTGGTACTCCATCAGCAGCTCATCTATCTGGTTGTGTTTCTGGGGAGACACGGTCGAGGCCTCCTGCGGTGACAGTGATGTGCGCACGTGTGCCGTGGGCGAGCTGTACTTTTCAGGAGACACACTGCCACTGCCACTGCCACTGGGCGTTCTTGATGGGCTGATGTTACGGACAGGACTTGCACTTCTGCTGCGCACCCTCTCAAAAGCCTTCTTCTCCTTCTCTTTCATGTAGACCTCGGCCAGAGGGTGATCCAGCGGTAACCCGAACTGGAGCATCCTCAGCATCGCATCTGTTTCACCGATGCCATAGTTGATCTTCGCCTCGGCCAGTTCTACGGTGAGCTCCTGCCTGCTGAGATCACGTCCGAAGTAAGCCATGATACTGTCTCTTTCATGTTTCAGGTTCTGCAGCTGGTTTTCTTTTGTGTAGAAATCAGTGCTGGACCCACTGCTGGAGAGGCTGAGGTTGAGGGACTGTGAGGAGAAGGAGTCTGTCTGGGTGAAACTGTCACTGTGAGCCGACTTCTCCAGCAAGCTGCTCAAATGTACCGACATTCCGGCGTCTCTGAACTGTGGGCTTCCTGACAGGGTGGGCTGGACAGAATTTCTTGCTGGTGTAGATGACCTGACGTTGTTTGCTGATGCTGTATATTCTGTTCTAGAATCAGATCTACTGCTGTAGGAGATCTCTGGACTTGTCGGGCACAGAGGGTTTTCATCCAGAAGTGAGTCTGTGCTCTGAGATCCACCAGACTGTTGTGAGATGATAACCTGTGGTTCAGGAGACCAGGAGACATGTTTCTTACCCCTCTCTCCATCAGGGCTCAGGAACATAGGTGAGACGGATGGACTTGTGTCCAAGTCAGATGCCTCTATCAGCAGGCCTGCAGGCTGTCGGGTAGGACTGTTCAGGGAGGCGTCTTCACTCTCTTCATTACTGGAGGACTCGTCGCTGTACCCCTCCTGTCGCTGGATGTATTCTGAACACTTCTGTCTCGTCATGTCTTTCTGACTGGCCTCCCGGTGTCGGCGGATGGCGTCAGCGGCATGCAGGTTCAACTCGCTGCCGTACCCAGACGTTACTTCTGACAAGCCGTTTTCTGCGTACTCCGGTTCGGTAGTCACGTGATACTCCCCAGGACCTTCCTCCTCTGGATACTCTGTTGAGTGTTCCGTGGAGAAGGTGGTGCCTAGTGAAATCCCTGACAAGTGTTCATACTCTAGAGACCAGTCAGCTTCTGTAGTGTGAGACCTGGTAGGTCTGTCAGGCAGGTCATCCATCCCTGTAGCAGCATGTCTCAGCAGCAGCTCCCTGTCATCAGTACCCACCGCCTCACTTCTCATCTCCCTGTCATCTGTTCCTATCGCCTTCTCCCAGGTGTTCCGCTTCTGCTCGTATCTCTGTCTGAAGATGTCCCACGCTCTGAGGGGAGGACTTGGTCCTAGACTGGGGAGGCTCACAGACTTTCCTGATGACCTGTGTACCTGGTCTTTGTCTGCTGTAGAAACTGTCTTTTGGAACTTGCTGGGGGTTATCACTCTGAGAGGCTGTAAGTTGTCGTCATCTCCTGTCTGCATGTCCTTGGTTATTTTGACTTGACTGGCCAATCCAACTGTTTCCCTATCCATGCCTCTAGCAGTGTCATACCTTGTATCAATAGATACCGTCTCACTTGACTGACTTTGGGCCAGAACCCTTCTCTCCACCAATGTTGAGACACTTGCATTATTGGACGACTGGGAGGAACTTTCCAAGTTGAGATGAAGAGAACCTCGATCAACAATACCTTGCCTTGGACTGAGGGAAGGGTTTGTTCCAGGAAATGTCTCAGTGTCTTCAAAACCACTGACCAAGTCCTCAGCTGCCTGGAACAGTTCTGCAGTGTTAGTGCTGTCTGAAGACTGGCCACTGTTGTTGGATAAATCACTTGTATCAAGCAGCAACTGGGAAAAGTTGTCTGTGTCCCTGTACTCAGTACTCTGCCCTGGTGACACTGCATCTCGGTTGTCTTCATCCATCTGTTGTTGTCTCAGTTGTGTTTCCTGGCAGACTGCTACATTCCTCAGGTTCAGGGCACTCTCAGTCTGCAGATTTGTGGTGGTTCTCCTTGTGTACATGCTGCCTTCCATGTCTGAGGACACCTGCTGACTGACGGTTTCCGTTACACCCCCCAGGGAGCTTGGAGAGTCAGGTTGTAAAACCGGTTTATCCAGGTCATAAATGATTTCACTTGTTGGTGCTGGGCTGTTGGTAGAATACTGCCCCCTAGTGAGTTGTTCGGAAACTGCATCCTGCTGAGTCCCTGTATAATCATATTGGTTTGGACTTTGTGTGGAGTGGGGGTCCTTGTACCGCTCTGGTGATCTGTACTGCTGTCTGTGAGAGGCTGTTGTGGACGCTTCTTTATACATTTGACTATTAGAATTCTCCAAGTCGAGAGTCTGTGAAGGGCTGTCAGTTTCCCTTGTAAGGTCATTTGGTTCTATGTCCTCTGGAGATTCTTGCTCAAGATCTGGGTCTGTGTCAACCACATACTCAACCTCACTGTCTTCACTGCTGCTGCTCTCTCCCTTTGCCTTTTTCACCCTGATGGCATAAGCCTGTAGAGGTGTGGTCAGTGGTCTGGTTAGGGCATTGATGTCATTGTCCATACTGGAGCTCTTCCCTCCAGTGGCAGCAGTGAAGCTGGTGAGGATGGAGTCCAGGTTGTCCAGGTTCCCCTCACTACAAGTACTGCCTGGCTTCCTGGGGTTACTGCGCTTCAGTTTGGGGCTGTCTATGGGGGTTTTAAAGCCACTGGTGTCTGAGGGATAAAAGGTGATCCTTTCTTTAGCAGCAGCATCTAGATAGTCTCCTCCTTCAGCCCCTGGGAGGAGCTTGCCCTGTGGCGAGGAATCTGGTTTCAAGATAGACTTCAGTTCTATAGTACTGACTGGTGAATCTAGCTTCTTGACGGCCGTGGTTGTGACTACTGGTGATGTAAACACAGGCTCGTTAGTTTCAGAAGCCAAGGACTGAGAACTGAGCTGTAGGATGTCCACCTCATCACTGAATGACACTCTCTTGGCTGCCGTCTCTGCTTTGGACTCCTTGGATTCCTTGGGTTTTCTTCTGAGTACAACTGTGTCTTGGGTCTGTGGGTCTTGAGCAGGGCTATCCATGATGTGGTCAGAAGGCAGTGCAAAGACATCTTCACTGTCGTTATCATGTGGAATCAAGTTAGGTGGCTCAACAGTGTTCTCTGTTGGTTCAAATGTAGAGAAGTTTGCTGAGACTCTAGGTTGGTTGTCCAAAACACTGACTGTTGTGTTCTGTGGCAAAGCATTATTGTCAAGAGAAGGCATCTGTAGTGGGTCCACTTCTGAGGGTTTACTGACCACAATGAGAGGTCTGACTGGTGACCGTTCCCTCTCCCTCACACTGGGAAGAGAAACTGAGTGTGGCCAGTCCTCATCACTACTGTTAGGGCTCAGCGGCTGGTCCAGGAGGGCACTAAAACTGGTGGACTTGCCTACATTCTCCAGGTACTCTTCTTCTTCAAGTTCAGCCATCAGAGCCATGAGTTCCGAGTCGCTGGACCTCACCTCATCTGTGGACGACACCGGGCTCAGGGACCCTGTCTCAGCTAGAACCCTGTCCAGACTCTCCTGGGTCTCTCTCAACACGCGCAGGTCATTGTCATTTGGGTCAAGGTCAAACACATTCAAGGGGCTGGGTGACATGTCTGTTGTGTTTTGCCTCATTTGCTGGAACTGAACACCATCAGCGAGTTCTGTCTTAAGAAGGTATTCATCTCCGACTGATGTGCCCCATGCAGTATTGTTATGACTGCTAACTGCCTGTTCAGATGTGGAATGGAATGAGCTGGCTACAGAACTTACTTCGATGTGGAGTGATTCCATCTGTGGTTGAGCTGTAGCTGAAGTAGCTTCATGTCTCTGTACTGTCTGTTGTGTAGGGTGTGGATGGCTGTTCAACCCTGGCTCAAGCGTGGGAGAAGATACATGTAGTTGTGGGTTGTTTGGACTTTCTACATCTACAACATAATTGTGGTCTGTTTGTTCAAGAAGCTGATGATCATGATCAGTAGGTTGGTGTGTAAGTGATACAACTGTCTGTCTTGTGTCACTCAGATGCTCTTGCCATTGTCCGGTTTCTCTTTCTCTGTTGCCATCATCACTTTCCACAGAGGGCAGTGTATCACTCTCCTGTCTATCCAGACTGTACATAGGCAGGGTGATCTTCCTCCTATCAGAGGTTTTCTCTACCTCTGTCTGAATGTCAGAGGCACCCTGCACTCCAGATGGAAGGGCAGTGGCAGCTGGGCCTACAAACTGTCTTGTTTTCATCGGCAGGCTGGGGTAACTTCCAACCAGCTCCTCTTCAAAGGAACTTGTCCTGACATGCCCTGTCATCTGTTGGTACATCTCTGCTTGCTGGTAGCTGTAGCTGTTGGTAGGCAGATCTGGTAAGGTGCCCTGGTAATCATAAGGCGAAATCATGACACTGCTTTCAGTACTTGGAGCAGTGCCACCAGCGTCGTTGCTTTTCACAATATTTTCATCTTGAGCTGAGTTAGCTGTGTAAAGTTCAGAGTTAGGTAGCATGTTTGGCATGTAGGCAACACTTGTAGGCAAATTTGCAGTCTCAGTCTGTTCTGTTGTATCACTCTGTAACAAATCATCAGTAGTTTTTCCAGTTTTCTGCTCCTGGTACAAGTGGGTGCTGTGGTCCTGTGGTTGCAAGGTAGGGAGATCCATAAGCGGTGAGGCCTGCTCCATGTTGGCTGTGTCATTGAGTTTTGCATCTGTTGAAGACCTTGCCTCGTCTACTTGCCTGGGTCCACACAAAGACAAAGAATCTGACAGCTGATGGTTGGAAGCTGAGACAGGGGCTTTATGCTCTGCTAGCTTGGTAGTATTCTGCAGGAGCACAGGGGAAACACCTGGTGGTGTCTGCTCAGGAGGAGTGGATGGTGGGAAAGACGCATCAGAGACCATGCTCTCTCTGTCAACTGATAACGACGTGGCCAGACCGCCAGGCAAAGCCAACTCAGGATGTGAAGGTACCTCACTACTGGGCAACTCAAAGTCAGAAACAGAAACTGAGGATGGCAGGTCACCACGAATAACTGAAGATGACACAGCACATTCAATTCCTGCCTCATGCCCAGCATGCATTAGTGTTGTATTCTTGTCTATGGCATCATCATGCAAAAGAGAATCTTGTGAAACAAAAAGTCCTGACTCTTCCCTTTGTGTCTTTTCTGGGGCACTGGGTTGGTGTGTAATCTTAGACTGACGAAGCTCTGCCTCTTCAAAAGAAACAGAACCATGCTGCACAGGACAGGGAGCACAGACAACATCTAAAGGCTGTTCAGTACCAACCTTCTGTTTAGGTGTGTCCTCATCCATATCATCATTATCCATAGCAACATTCCTAGGTAAGCTTCTAGAGCGTTCACCAATGGGCTCAGCAGCAGAAATTCCTGCACTTTCAAGCGATTGCTGCCTACCCCAGTCACTAGTTCTCGGCCTTTTAGAAGCTGGCAATATTTGCTCGGACTGACTTCTAGAAACCATCATGCTGCGCTCCACTAAAGCATCATGCTCGGAATATTCCTCACTGTCAGTTGATGAGGCAGAGAAGCTGGATGCACTGTCGTCCTCCTCTGTTTCATTGGAAGATGCCTGCTCATCCTCTGGTAGCTGAGTTTTGTATGTCTCTAGAGTGTCTATGTCAGTGTGCTGCTCAAACAAAGAGGGCTGGCCTTGGTCAGACGTGCCAGGTTCTTGGAAGAATGGAGACGTTGGTGTTGGAGTAGTTCCAGTTGACATTGCCTCTGGAGATGTGAACCCTTGGTATGCCAGTCCTTCTCCTGTGTCCTCAGTGGAGGTTGTCCCCTTGTCGTCTTCACTGTCAGGCTGTGATGTCTGTACTTCACTTTCATCTGACAACCCTTCTGCCTTATACCCTGAAACTTTTGTCCACCTGTCGATGTCTTCACCACTGCTTGCAGCTGACATATATTTGTCATCATCAGTTTGTTCTTGAGGCACTGGTTCTCTGTCTGTAGACATGGGAAGAATTGGTTGAACCTTCTCATCTTCAGCTAGTACTTTGTCTACAGTGCCAGTAGGGACTTTGTGTCCATTTGGTGTGCTGGTGTCAACAGGTGGAGGTAAATCACTTGTTTCTAATATATCTCCTGCAGTTGCAGCAGAGACAAATGGTTGCCATTCTAACACATCCTCTTTCTCAGGGCTTTTCTTGTCCTGGTTGCTTTGCTCACAAACACCTGCCTTGGGATGTGAATCATCAGCATCTGCAGGAGAAGGCGCTGACACTGTTCTTACTTCATCCTCAGGCAAGTCATCCTCCTCAATGCTATCAACCCAAGTCACTGTATCAGGCTCTTCAGATGTTTCCTCATGATCAGACTTGTCAGTCACCAGAGCTTCCATATGGTCAAGTGCATGTATGACAGCGTCAGCTGGAACAATGTCATTATTGTTCTCCACATGTCTACCATCCAAGGTACCTTGCTCCACTGGTTCTTTGTCATCCTCTGAAGAATATATTATCTTGACAACCTCTGGATATAAGTTCTGATTTTCAGAATCAGGGGATATATCAGCAATAGGTACTGGTGCTTCATCATCTTCCAACCCAACCTGTTGCACAATGCCCTCTGCCTTGTCTTCAGATGTACCTTCATGACTTGAAATAGAGGAATCTTCCTGTGTGGTGTCTTCATGTTCAGGACCAATGGATGCGTCAACATTCTCAGGCAGCACTTCTTCCTGGTCCTGCTTTAACTCAGGCAAATCTGCTACCACTGAAGCTCCCTCAGAAGTCATTTCCGACACTTCTGATACTGGGTGTTCATGTTCTTGTAGTGATGGATCATGGACAACAATGGGAGTAGGTTCTGCATCTTGCAACTCTTTTGTGCTGTCTATGTCTGTAGCATCCTCAGCTGATGTGGATGGAACAGATGCTATCTCAGGTGACATGACATCACGACGGGCCTGTGCTTCCTCTTCCACATTGACTTGGTGTACATCTGAAGGCTCTTGCATGGGGGGAGGGGTCAAGAGTGAGGTGCTATCATTATCATTGTCAAGTTCATCATCAGTCATGCCAGTATCACTGTCTTCATCAACACATGAGGTTTTGTGTGGCTGTTGTTGGGGACCAGTGGAAGCCACTGCAAAATTTGGACCAGCATATGGCTGATGCTCTCCATCAGGCTCTGTTCTCTCAGGAAGTTCTCCCACAGGTTCAGCTTTACTGGCGTCTCTAAAGGCTTCCTTGATGGCCACGGATACCACACTGTCAGCTAGCATTTCAACTTCTGGAGAGGAGACCAGGGTCTTGTCTGAGATGTCTTCCACCGTGTCTTCCAGACTTACCGTGGAGCCATATGTGGAGGTGTCTGAGCTGAGAAGCTGGAAGGATTTCTGGTAGATCAGGGTGTGATCCGAGGAGTCCTCCAGGCTGGCTGTGGACGAGTATGTCGATGTGTCTGAACTCAGCAGCTGGAGAGACTCCTTCTGAGAATCATCTGCCAATCTTGCAGGTGTTGCCTTAGCTGCTTCCTGCCCCTTGGCACTACTGATGTTCTTTCTGCTATAAGCCGGGCTCTTTTCAAAGTCAGACAAGTCACTCTCACTGTCAGTAGTAAGGACGGAGGTTACAGCCTCAGTCACGGCTTTGCTGATGACCCTCTCGGCAAAGTTTTCCACTTGCTGAGATTCAAACACAAAGATGTCTTTCTTGGCCAGTGAAGCTGACCCAATGTCATTTTGTGTGACATCCTTGCCTGAGTCGTCGTCTTCTGTATCTTCTTCTACTTGATGTTCAGATTCTTCCCCGTCTATCTCATGTTCAATGTGATATGTGATGCAGCCTGCCACTGAGCTCACTCGTGTTGTTTCTACAATGCGTGGAATTGCCTTGTCAGCTTCTTCAGAGAAGTCATCTTCAGGAGATTCTGTTTGTAGGGAATCCTCCTCCACATCAGAACCCTCCACAACGATCTTCCTGAAAACCAACTCAGCAGGAGTGCTAACCTGCTGAGACGGTATGACTTGAACTTTCTCTGAAGAATCAGCTGCATCTTCTTCCTCTGAAGTAGTTTCTGGAGTAGGGAAGCTATCCCCAGGACGGCCCAACCTGTTTGACTCATACTGTGACTTCAGCTCATCAATGGTGGTTCCCTCTTGTATTTCCTGAGAAATCCAGCTCATCGCACCATCAACTGTCCTGATGGCAAACTCCTCAGCAAAGAATTCTATGGCAGGAGAAAGAGGCTGTGGGGGTACAATGTCCTTCTGTGCATTATCTCGCACCTTCCTTGATGCAGCAGCTCTTTCTTTCACCAAGTGACTTGTTGGGAAATGTTTCTCAAGGTGTGGGGTTAGGTCACCAGGAGACACAACCTTCTGTTGTTCAGTGCTGGAAGATGTTGAAGACAGAAACAAGTGAGGTTTGCTGTCTTGAACAGGTGGTCTGGTAGAAGATGTACTTCCTCCTTGCACAGGTGATTTGACAGTTGGGTCCCCTGCAGCAAACTCTCTGCTTCTGGTTAACTCTGAATCCCCAACAAGTTGTTCATCATGACTACCAGCCATATCCATGTCATCAGTATTTGTTACTTGTGTGTGTTGGACAGTATGTTGCTCTGTATTTGCTATGCTATCAGTATACTGGCTGATGTCTTGCTCCTCGGCACTTTCTGAACTAACTGCTGTTGCCCTTTGGTCAGGCTTGTCCAATGGGGTGTCTACTGATGCACCTGGGTGACTGTCTATGCTGTCACTGTAATGGATGGGGTCGTCTGTGCTGGTGACAAGGTTTTGTTGTGCAGTGGTCACTGTAGCTTCTGCACTTGCCCCATGCTCTGACTTTGTCCTCGATGTTGGATCTGAGTATTCAGATACAGATTGTTCTGTAGTTGTTGTACTGTCACTTAACTGGGTGATATCTCCTGTGTCAGTGGTGAAGTCTGTGCTGAAGTTCTGTTGTCTGGTACTTTCTGTATCTACTACAGCTGACAACCGCTCTGATGTATCCAACTGTCTTCCTGTTGTTTCATCTGTGTACTTGGAGGCAACTTCTTTGTGTGTCCCACTGTCACTTAACTGGGTGGAATCTTCAATGTTGATGCCAAAGTTTTCTTCCCCAACACTTTCAGTACCAAATGTAGTTACCGCTTTCTCTGGCATGTCCGACTGTGTTCCTGTGGATGTATCTGTACCCTTGTGGACATCTTCCTCTGTGTTTGTTGTGCTGTCACTATAATCAGTGGAATCTTCTGTGTTGATGCCAAGGTCTTGTTGCCCAGTAGTTTCAGTACCTACAGCAGTTGTGCTTTGTTCTGGCTTGTCCCACTGTGTCCCTGTTGTACAAACAACTTTACCTTGGCTATCAATATCAGGTCTATCTGTGCTATGTCTCCCTGACTCAGCATCCTCAGTCAATCTCTCTCCGTTGGGCAGGAACTGTGCACTTGAGGTACCAACTGCACTTGTAGCAGACTGAGTGTGCATCTCTGTTGTGGCTTTATCTGTATGTGTTCTAACATCTGCAGACTCACTCTGCACTTCTTCAAACCCAACCTCATCTACAACTACAGGTCCAGTTGTCAACGTCTTGTTAGTCGGTCTGATTGTTGTCTGTTGGCCACTTTCTACTGTAGATGGCAAGACTTTCTGTTCTTCAGTGGTCAAGAGGTTAGAAACTTCTACAGCCTGGGCCTGTATGTCACTAATTATGTGCAGAACACTTGGAAGGTCAAAATCACTTCCATCACTCTGTTCTTTGTCGCTCAATACTGTTGACTCTACTGCTAAATGATTGTCTCTCACGTCTGTAGATGTTTGCTCCTCCACTTCTCTTACAGGTTCTTCTGAAATATGACCATCAGGTTCTGAAAGCTCATCATCATGATGTTTTGTCTGACTCTCTTCAGCAAGATTATCCTTCAACTTCATAGCTGGAGCTTCTGGGCTTCTGTCGTCATTAGCTGAGTCAAGTCTTTCTTGTTTCTCCTCATTGGAGGCATCACTGTCAACTTCATGATCACTGCTCCTGTTGGCCTCAGCTAGGAGGTATCTATGATCAGCAAGTTCATCTTCTCGAGTGATCATCTCTGTCTCTTTAGTCTCTTCCCTCTCTGTTTTTGCGGTCTTCAGCTCTTGCCAGTCTTTGTCAAGATCAGGCCTTTCCCCTGAAGTGGGCTCTGGTTTTTTGGAGTCAACCTGTTTGGTTTCCTGCTCTGTCCCTTCTTGTGGCACTACTGGTATGTCTTGATCAATCTCTGCTGGTTGGCTCTGCTTTTCATCGACTGTTGTTACACTGTCTTCCTCTAGGACTTCACTTCCCTGCTGTTTATCATCATCTTTATCTTCGGCCCCTCCTTCTTCCCCTAATGAGTCTTCAGACACCTGGTCATCAGCCCTTGAAGATTCTTCCTTGTCCTCTTCTGCTATTGGTTCTGCTGCCGGCATAGAAGCCTCCCCTACCTCGGAGCTCACCCTCCTGGCTGCTGGAGTCTTCCTGGGTGACTTGGGCTCATCTTCTGACAGTGAGTCCACTGAGTAAACCCCATCTGACTCTGTACTGTCTTGTAGCTGTTTGACTCGTCTGTGGATCTTAGGTGGAGATGACCTGTGGGCTCTGTCTGACAGGGAATCATCAGAGAACGTGTCTGTCTCTGAGGGAAGTTTTCTGGTGTATCTTACTTTCCGTGCAGGTCTTGAAGGTTGCTGCTTGCCTGCAGGTAAGCTACTGCCCTCCTTGGTGTCAGCAAGGGAATCATCCGAATGCATGCTGTCATTGTCTGAATCAACTGTCTTTGATACAGGTGCAGGGGTATCTTGTTCTTGTGTTACATCTTTGTCCACGCTTTCTCCTGTAGCACTGCTGGGGGTATGCTGCTGCTGATCCTCTTTTGTTAGTCTTCCTTGCTCATCAACAATAGCAACTTCCTTGCCATTAACAGCAGCCTTCTCAGACTTCCCAGGTTTTGCCTCTGTAGGACTGTCAGCTTCATTCAGTGAGTCAGCAGAATACCTGGCAGCTTCATCATCCCCGTCAGCAGCAGCGTCTCCAGATGAAGGTTTCACTGCCGGTACTCCGGCACGTGCCTCCTTGTCAGGAGAGCTATCTGATGCAAGGCTGTCCTTCTCAGATGGACTCTCTCCATCTTCCGCAGGCTTCTGTGGCACTTCCTTAAGGTTCAGTGATGTAGGACTTGTAGCAGCTGGCCGTGTCACCTCTTCTGTAGTTACCCTGTCTTCCTGTGTAGGCACGTCAACTGAAGACTTTTCCTCTTCCAACCCAGCAGCACTGGCTGATGTGACGTCTGCATCAACCATCATCTCTTCCCCGAGTTCAATAACAGACGAGGCGTCGTCTCCTCCCTCTGTTGTCTGTGACGTCACATCAGAGCTCACAGCTGTGGAAACAGTTTCCATTGAAGACTGCATTTCTGCCGTGGCTTCGATGTGGACATTTACTCCTCTTTGTGCTGCCTGCCCGTCACCAGCCTCCACTGCCTTCTTTAAAGCTGCCACTGCTCCATCCTCCCATGCATCTTCAAGAGAATCGGCACTGTCCAGACTGTCTGCTTCTACTTCTGAAGGGTCCTTACTGACCTTTTTGCGTCCCACTTTTTTCACCATGAGGGAGTCACTCTCAGGACTAGTCTCCCCCTCAGCCATTAGAGAGTCCACAGAGTAGATACTCTCATTGTCAGAGCTTGCCTCAATTCTCTCCTTGATGGGCAGGGGATGTACAGTAGGGGCCTTTGGAATGGAAGGCCTTTCAGCACCCTCTTCTCCTTCCAGAGAGTCATCAGAGTAGACACTCTCCTCTGTGGCCTCTGTCATGACATCATCCATTGCTATGGAAACAGATGAAGTGCCACCACTCAGAATGGAGCCTTCCTGACTGGATGGAGTATCACCTCTCTTTGCTCTTTCTGCAAGTGTCTTCTTGATATGTGCACGGACTTTGGATTTTGGCCTGTACTTTTCTACATTGGGCTCTGGGCCTATAACATAGGATGTGATTTTTCTTGGCTTCCCTGTTGACCCTTTTTGTACAGGAGACTTGGACTTTCTGCCTTTGCTGTCAGATTTGGAAGAAGCTTCTGATGGAGACTTGGACTTAACTGAAGGATCGGACCTTGTGGAAGCATCACTTGGAAAAGACCTTGGAGAAGAGCGTGTGGGAGATGTTACAGAGGGAGATCTTGCAGCAGGAGAAGGTGTCTTTCTCTTGACTGGACTGGTCACTTTAGGGACTGCATCAGTCTTACCCACAGAAGCCTTACTATCTCTACTAAGGCTTGCGGGTTTCTTGGGGACAGGAGGCTTGACTTTCTTGTCTTCTCTTGCCTTGCCATCTGGTTCACTTCTTGGTGTGCTCTTGACTTTTTTCTTGAGATCATCCAGCTTGGGTTTGGGTCTTGTGATTGGTGGTTTGGGCATTTGGCTCTTCGACTTTGTGGCAAGTAAAGAGACAGCTTTAGTTGGCTTGGTTGGGGGCAGTGGCTTTGTGGGAGAAGTGGTCTTTGTAGGTGATTTTGTTCCAGAACCAGTTTTAGGAGGCGAGCCTACTCTTTTCACAGTCTTTGTTGGAGATTTAGCAGCTTCTGTTGGCGACGTTTCATCTTTAGCAGCTTTTGTTGAAGAAACTTTCCTCTCTACTGATTTTGTTGGGGACGTTTCCCGTTTGGGTTTGGCACCTAGTGACTTTTGCGGCTTTGTAGGTGAGAGTACTCTTTTCTCTTGCGAGGTTGCACTCTTTGAAATGTCTAGTTTAGGTTTGGTTGCAGACTTTGCTCCAGCAGGACTGCGAGGGGAGGTTGTTCTTGAACCCCCAACTGGAGGTTTTCTCTTGGGAGGGGTGGGAAGGAGTCGAGATGACGGGCTTCGAGACCTGATATCTGCAAGGGCTGACATACTGACACTACTGCTCGTGGTCTTCACAGCACCTGCAGACTTAGATCTCCTGATGGGTGCCGGGGAGGGAGAAGCCCCCTCCTCGCCTCTCAGACTTCTGGCAAATGCGTCATGTGCGATGGAGTCTGCAGACCCATATCTTCTAGCCGATCTCACACTGTAGAGGGAATCTGTATCAGATGTACTAAGGGACAGCGGCGTATCTGATCCCCCGCCACCACCACCCATCCCTCCTACCGACCACCAGCGAGGCTTCCTTTCATCCCCTGCTGACCTGGGCCTTTGGTAAGGTGTAGGTCCCCAGGTGATGGGTGATACGTCTTCTGGCCTGTCAATAAACCTTCTTCTCGGCCAGCGCTTTTTGATATTGGCCATGGCAGCACTGTCAGATACCGTGCTCCAATCTTCACTCAAAGTCTCTGCCACAGAAGAAGCTCTTGATGCCGACACTGCCCTTCTGTTCAACATATCACCCCTGTCTTTTCCAACAAAGCTGCCAAATGATGATGAGTCTGCATTGGACTGGGAATCAAAAGCACCTTTAGTCTGCTGAACTGCTTCCAACCTGGCCGAAACTTGCTCGAGAAAACTGGACGGTGTTTGGGTATCTTCCGACTCCACTTTTCTCCTATCCAAGGGAAATGTCTGAGTTTGGTCGGCCTTTACCTCCACACGAGTGGTCATGGTTTCAATGGATACAGAGATCCCTGAGTCAGTCTGGTCACCACTGTCATGTAATATCTTTCCTACAGAGTCCTCTACATGAAACACTCGAGGTCTGTGTTTCTTATCTGGCTTGGTTAGTGGTTCAGAAGAATCCCCTGCCTCTTGCAAGAGCAAACTTACTGAGTCTGTTTCTGCCTGCGCTTTCTTGACCACGATACGTTTCTCCCGATGCACGGTTGTACCAGTTACAACAGACTGTTTCTGTTCTTTTGCCTTTGTCTGTGTTGCAGAGCCTTCACTCTGTAATGTTGACACAGAACTTCGTTCTCTTGTTGGACTCTTTGGTTGCAGCTGCCTTTGCCGTTCCTTCTTAGGACTGGTAGAACGAGTGCCGTTAGCAGGAGAGCCATGATCTTCTGATACTGAACTTGAGGAAGGGGCAGGTCTGGTCTTTGGTTTCACAGGAGGAAGCTGACCTGCACTAAAGGGGTTGTCATCACTCGCATCATGGAGCGCTCTTTTCCTGACATACGTACGCCCATTCTTCTTGTACGTTGTTGGTGACTTGCTTCTCTCCGGCACAGGTACCGAGCCCTCCTCCTCCTTTTCACCTTTGGAGTTTGCCTGCCAGGCTTTCCTCACACTGCTGGGAGAGCCAGGATACAGCCTAGCCGTCACCTCCTCCGCTGTAGGCGACGGTTTCTCCTTGGTGGGAGAACTACCTTCCCTTGATCTCCGCCTCGTGAGAGCTGCCTTGCTCTTCTGCCCACTATGCTCCATGGACATGGACATGCTGGAGTCTGACATGCTGGGCAGGGACATGCTGGAGGTGGAGTAGTTGCTGGGTGTGGGGGAGCCGCTCCTGGGAGAGTGACAGAGTGGAGTCATGGTGGCGGGGGTGAGGGTGGAGGGAGTCTGCCCCTCGCTCATCTCCTCCATCTTCAGCAGTCCCAGTTTGGGGTGAGCCTTGACGGTGGTGGCCACGCTGGAGGAGTCGTCGTCGGTGGAGGCCTTGGGGCTGACGTAGACGTTTTCGTCCTGAGCCCCGATGGGACTAACTCGGTCCATCTCCAGCGCCATGGTGTCGTGGTCCATTCGCCAGCGCAGCTGCTCAAAGAGCCGCTCCTTCTCCTGCAGCTCCTTCAGCCGCGTCTCATCAATCAAGACCTGCAAATGATAATAGTTCAGGTAATTTATATGTGAAAATATTCATGAGAAATCATAAAGTAAATAGTGTGTTTGTGTGCTAGATAAAAAATTTCAACATTTCTGAAGAGAAACCACTTTAGTTTTTAACTAATACAGCAACAACAAGTGCAGATAATAGCAAACAATGCCCACACACAGCAGCACATTATTGCATTTCAATATTGATCTGTGTTGGGAACTGACTCACAGAGGTAATCTGTTAAGACAGATCAACATTGATTTCATTCATGAATAATTTAAGTCATGCTCTTGAACTTAGCTGGTACTATATTGATGCTGAGAGGCACTCTATGCATCAAAGTGTCAGAGACCCTTGTGTTGAAATTTTTCATCCTCTCAAAGAGCACGCACAAAACAACTCCAGTGAAACAGACCTGATCCGTTAGCGTAGTGGCTGTAGTTGACACGGACTGAGTGGTTGGCTTTGCCCTGTCCCTGGGCTGGCCCATCACGTCGTACTGTATCCCTGTCTCCCGGGATTCCATGCTGTCTGTCTGCACAGCAAACTCCTGTCTCTCCAGCTGCTGCTGCTTCAGTTTGAGATCTTCAGCTGTGTTAAAAAACAATGTGGGAAAGTATGGTTAAAATGTATCTACATTGTAGGTTAAGTAGCAGTACCTTCACATCTTGATTTGATAAATCACCAGCTAGCCTTGTACTACAAACTGTGGCCAATACCACTACATATTAAAGCAGAAAGGATGTTTCCTTCAATTATACACATCAAAGGAAACCTTCTAAAGATAGCTGTCTACCTTCTTGTATCTCCTGGGCAAGTCTTCTCCTTGCCTCCTGGATCTCCTGCTCTGCCACAGACTGCGCGCCGTCTGCCTCCTGTCTGAGTCTCTCCAGTAGTGCTCGCTGTCTCTCGATGGCTTCTTGATGGGCCTTTTGCTTCTCTGCCATCTCAGCCTGCAGACGCTGGTGTTCCTCTTCTGCCAGCACCCGCTGCTGCTGAAGCTCCTCCAGCTGACGTCTGTGTGCACAGATAAAAGGGAGCACTTAGATACATGCACATCTTCAAGGGAAGAAATAAAATTGCTCTTCCAATGGCAGAGCTCTTCCCTGGAGGTTCAAAGGAAGGAATATCTCTTGATGTCTGCTTGTGATGTCTGATTGATAACTATATTTGGTGGTAAGACACGCTTGAAATTACCTTCAAGCAGTTCAACGTCACTGCATTTTGGACTCTAGCAAGTCAATCAGATTTTCCTAGAAAATGGTAACCAGTATAGAGAGGAGCCACGGAAACTTGTAGTTAGTGTGTCTTAGTATGAAAACAATATGGATGTTCAAAATATCATAACTCCATAAAATATCATCACAGCACCAATAAAATGAAAACTATAAAATTGAAATGCAAAGATAAAACTAGCAAAATAATATAGCTGTGATTGTGGGTGTACATTGTAGTACATCTTAATACATGAAAATGTCACATAACCTAATAATAACCCTTTGGAGACAGAAAGATAAATCTTCTAGCAGAAAATTACTATTTTGCTATTAGATATACCAAACTTCATGCATTTAGAATGTAATAGATATGGCAAATATGACAGTTCTTACCCATTACATGAAAAGATAGAGCTGATGTTTCTCCATTACTGTTATCAATTCAAACAATGTTACAATCCTTTCCAACCCTTAAGAATGATTCCTCCAAAATTGAATTACCAGTATTGGAAATGTCATTTCAGTATCATATTGGCAATGTTGCAATGAAGCAGGAATATAACAGACTGCAAAAATGCTTTGATCTTGACTAGTAAGAATAGACTCGGTCATTTTCCTATACATGTATTTGATTAAGTACAATGTATATGCAGCAATAACTGCACTGATGACAATGTGAACATGTATAAACTTAAAAATAGTAATGACACAATTATAATTTATACTGACTCTATCAAAATTATTAATATTCACCAGAGCAAACTCACATACTGTTAGCATTGACCATGAGCTTCCATCCAGTGCATTATGCATTCAAGAAATGTCTGACCTGTGCAGTATTCGATTACATTGTCTAAAACCACTCAGAATGGGGATTAGGAGCCTATCTGCAGCACAAAGCTGCTGTCATGTCTTTGAATTTGAGGGGATTCTGTGGAAACTCATACATGCTGCTTGACTGTGGACAAAAGATGTAAAAAGGCACAAAGCTTAGAACCTTGCCACATCATCACTACACATCATGATCAGTCAAACAGGCTGAATACTGAATGGCTGAAGGCCAAATATTCTCTATACAGAGCCTTTTTATTAGAGGCATTCCTTACAAAAATTGTACAAAACACAAACTCAAGGAACCCACAATTAGGGAGATGATCTCTGGCAAACCTACAATACAAACACTAGCCGTACAAGTATTACATACATGCATCCTACTTCCGTTTTGGACCAGCCCTTAATTTTGCCAGATTACAGTTACAGTAGGAAAATTAGGCCCCCACAAGATTGGACGTCACAAAACGTTAGGTGAGCTCGTAGCTTTGTAACAAAAGGTCGGGCGACATCTAACAAATGTTCAGTACAATATCTGTTGTGCTCAGTCAAATGAGAAATAACATTGATTTCCCAGAGTGGAGATATGGCAGAGGTCCAGACGGGCGTCTTGCTGCAACGGAGGACCATCAACAACTGTGGGCACCGCTAACCTCTCCCTGTAATGGCCTGGACAAGTCCTGGCGCCACCAATAAGACAGGCCGTAAGGTAGAGTCAAGGAAATAACATGTACATTTACAGCCTATCAAGGACCACATTATTATGGACTCTACCATACAAAAATCTGTATGGCCAACACGTCCTACAAAATATATGCAAATACCAGAAAAATTCCAGGGATATGCTTATTTACGTTCTGCAGTAGAAAGCAGGGATAATTTCTGGGAAAACTGACACAGACAATGGTAAATCTCCCCGAGGAATCCCATCTTCTGGGAAAAACACCGCTGTGACAAATTTCCTGCTAGGCTGGTGGTGCCGGCAAATCTATAACATGCAGGATGCAAATCCAGGAGAGAAGCTTGGCCGACAGCCAGGCTGCACTTGATTCTCTGTAGCACCTGGGGATCATGTCGTAAGTGCATTGCTTACGTGTTATAGTAATCTATTACGTATGCAACCCTTGCAGGTGGTTGTGGGGCATGTGAACTCTGTGTCTGACCCAGAGGACACTGTAAATACAATGTAACAATGAGATAGTTTTGTACATTGCTCACACTTTTTGATTAATTGCTGTTCAAAGGGATTAAAATAATAGGACACTTTCATTGCAATAAGAATGTCTGCTACATGTTTGGCCTCCAGAGAAAGACTCAAGAAAATAAATGAAACCACCGACAACCAGTTTTCTGTTTCAACTACATTTCTCTATGTGAAACATATATTGATATGTGAAACTGATATATTGAATATAAAAATTGAGGGAAGGAAGAAGGAAGCTTACTAATGCACAATCTACATATTATAATAAGTTTCTCACAAACATATAGTACCAACAATACAATCATTTACACTAATGTCACTAATGTTTTGAAACAGTAGACAAGCCCATACTGTTAAAAATATTGGATAAGGTCAAAAAAATTTGGATTTAGTGCTGCAAGCCGTAGCTGACAGTACAAAAGATTAGTTTAGTGACACAGTACCAATCCTGAATCACAATCATCACCAGCCCTAGACTTGGTGAGAGTTTACTGGCAGAAGAAATTTTCTTGAAGTCAACAGGGCTGTGCCCCCAATTTGAGCGAAGAAGCAGGCCTACTGTATCACACACAGGAGGTTTAACCTATCGATGTGCCCTACCGGGTTTCTTGACTCTAATCTCTAATCTTCCTGAGTGCAGGGTCTGTGGAAGAGATGGTTCTCTTGTCTTGAATACAAAGTCAGCAATATTTTCTTAGAGAAATGCACGGTGAATACACTCTGGCTGGAAACAACTGGAGGATTTCTTGGGCAAACTGTTTTAAGACTGATGAAAAGATAGTCTTGTTTCTGCAAGGTGTGCCAGATTTATAAGATAACACAATGCTCATATCTCACAGAGCATGATTGACAACCAGTTCAAATATTATGCAGCGGAAACCTATATTATGCTCCATAATTTTTATATATCAGAAACAAGTCAAAGGCAATTAACAAGAATCAGAAGAACTATGCTGTTTATTAACATTACTAAGACCAGGAAAGCATAATATTTGAAGTCATTATGCAGGCAATATAATAAATTGGTAATAAGACAGCAACATTGCCTGAACTTCAGGGCTGTCACAAACATCAGACCAAATATCACATCTGTTGGAACTACAAAATAAAACACATTCTGTATGTAACAAAATTAATGCAAAATGCATGATCATAACACTAGGGTTAAAGCTGGTATATATATAAAGACTGAGATGTTGCGGCTTTAGCCCTTGACAATATTGGACACAGGTGACCGTGAGGCATCATATATTTGTAAGTTTAACAATAATCAATAATTCAGCACCACGTGTGGGTGCCATCAGGGCGAGGATGACTCACCCATGCCACATTACCCCTGCCACTGTTTCATGCCCCACCGGCAGCACACACACAGACGTATGGTGGGAGATAGGACATGTTCAACATGAGAGGTCTCCCCCAAGGTCAGCACAAAATGCATACATGAGGTCCTGGACTTCTAACAACTGCTGATTGATGGGACTGCATTCTGCCATTAGAACTGCCACTCACAGTTAACTACACCAGGGTAAATGCACGTATATTGCAAAACAAGAGCAATCTTTGTCCCCCAAGGAAACAAGGAAAGCAAGAAGAATGCAGTAAATGACCTGTGAAATAGACATTCTGGCTGTTTCTGCAATTATTCGCAGCCCAGACAGAAGAAGGATATTGGAACTGCGAGTTGAATCCTGCACAACTGCCTGTAGCAAAGTCTCCAGAGGTTAAACAGTATTCAATATTTCTATACTAACAGCTCTGGAACATACCCAAGTCTGCGGCTGATTTCTTTTCCCACCTCTTGGAGGTGATTGACTCTTACATTGTTGTACCATGTATGGGAGGGGATGTTACCATGGTTACATGTGAGGGTTACTTGAGGACAGTGAGGGACCTTTAACACTTCCAAAGTGACATACACACACATTCACATCTACATTTAACCTGTAGAAAATGGTACCCATGCTACTACGCAGAGGACTGGTTTTCCTAACTGTTACAATGACAACATGAAATCAAACACTTTCTAACAGGATGGTAAGTTACCTTGAGTCGGATGGACACACACCTTTGATGCAATTATTTTGTATTCACCTATACCCATGACCTTCAAAGTGTACTAGAGGACAAGTTAAGATGGACCACATGATAGTTGTTTTCCCATTAGTATTGGTATTTTATGAATGCAGCAGTTCCTGTGATGTGTGCAGTTTAAAGGACAATCCAATTCCCTCTGTACTTATAAACTCCCGCAGTGCATCTTTTACGATTAGCATTAAAACCTGCCATGATGATTGCAAAACATCTCACACAGTATGGACTAACACATTATGACTGGCAGAAAGGGGAAAATCTATCTCCTGAACATCTGTTACAAAAGATATTTATGTATGGAGTCGATATTGGATTTATGGTCTCATAAAAGCTGCACAGCCTGCAAACTATTCATGCTAAATAATGATATTTCTTAAAGTATCATCAGTGTCTAGAGGATATTTTTACAATGATATAATATAATGTTAATATCTACCAAGCCACAGAGATAGATACTGTACCAATGAAATACACTGGATTTGAAGATGTTTTTGAAAATGAAACCCGCCCTCTACAAAAATCAAAGAAGGTCACTGGTGGGGTCTATAATTCATCACATAACAATGCCAGACATTGTAGCTTGCAATTCAATGAGCCCGATGCCTCGTAGTAAGTCTTCTGTTCTACCACATCTGATAGGCACGATTTTGTTGCCTTGAAACAGATCATTA